ACATGCAGAGCATATTTCCACGATTCTTTTGGCTTACGGAGGTGACTTGGAGCACACTCACCTGGTGAAGGGTTTGGACTTTGCCTTGCTGAATAAAGTTCGCACAGAGCTTGCGAAAAAGCAGAAGGCAGAAGAGTTTCAGAACCTCAGCTCATCTAGCTTAGCTAGTTTTGCTGTTCGTTGGAGTTGCTTCGTCTGAATAGGATCGCTTTCGCTGTCAGGAAAGCTAAGCAGGAGCGAAAAATCACTGGTGGCAAGCAGAAGAAGACCTTCGAGCATATGGTAGTGTGCTGCCAGCATCTTCTACGTGAAGGCATGCCGCCTGTTGAGCGAATCCGAAGCTGAGGCGAAGAACGTCTGGTTGACGGTAGTAGAGACGTTACATCCCCACCACAGCACCTTCAAGGAGCACTCCCTGGCGACTCGCGCTGTGTCATGCTGCTGCAGGGCGGTGATCTCTCGACATGTCGGGTGATTGTCTGCGTGAATGAGGAGCGAGTACAAAAGATGGGCAAGGCCATAGCGCAGGACACCGTGGCATGCTTGCTTGAGCCATGCTGTCCCTGTCCGCATGGTGCCCGGTGCACCATCAATTTCGGCAGGGTCATCGGATCAGAAATGCCCCCTCGGTCTTCCTGCCCGGGCGCATGGCCTTCGAGTTTGACACAGATCTGGAGATGGGCAAGACGGACATCCCCCGAATCGTCTATATGAGCAAAGAGGACGATTGCCCAAGAAGGATATTCTAAACAGCGTATGCACAACATGCGAGGGCCTGTGCGACGGCATTTGAGCTTGCACCGGCGTTCCTGCTAAGACAGATTTTGTTGCGTTCCGAGGAGGTTCCTGTGAGTGAAATGGGCAAGCGATCTTCCGGAATGCTTCCAGAAACTGCGGTCAGAGTGGCAACCTGAGCTATGTTGCAGACCTTCTCCCGTCAGCGTTTCTCATTGAGAGCAGTTGCTAGTTAGCCACTGGTGCAGAAACACGTGGTTTTGAGGTTCGCAATGCTATGCAGAAGGCAGCAGAGGACAAGAAGCAGCGGAAAATGCAAAAAAATCTTGGGGCAGGTGTCGGCTCCTGTTCCGTTTGGATGCTCTCCGCCCTGCCGATATCAATGTAGCATGTGCTGCGCAGGCGCAAGTTACACCAGTGCCCAGAAGGTCGAAGTTTCCAAGGTCAAGGCCAGAGACAGCGACAACGACATCTTTGCTGGTGCAGGAGCCTTTGATGTCAATGTGCCTTAGCCGCCTTAGCCTCTACCAGCCGGGAATTGTAGTCACGCTTGCCGTCTGGGCGTAGACGGCGTAGCATTAGAGGGCAACGGGCAACTGAGGAGATCGTCCGCAAGGCCAGAGCAGAGCAAGCCGCCAAGCGAGATCATGCGGGCGTGAGCGGCGTGAAGCAGGAGGAGAAAGAGCTATCCCTAGAGAAGGAGAAGCCCAAGAAAAGTTCTTACTTTGATGATGCCGGGGACGAGAAGTACAGATGCTTGGCTTTCTCTTTTCTGCTCACGTCTAACGCTTTGTGCGGCACTGCAGTTGATTGGACGGTTTCCTTGATCGCTCAGGGAAGGCACCGGACCGCCAGCTTGATTTGGAGGAAATCGAGGTGGAGGACCGTCCTTCAAGCGCCGAGCTTCTATCGGCCCTGGCTCAATCAAACGAGGGCAGTCGAGCTCGCAGAAGGGCTTGTCGGCTTGTCTTCCTTGTGAGGAGTCGACCTTGGAGCCCGGAGAGTTTCACAAACCCACGGGCCGCTTCGAGGCTTCCCGAAAGTTTCGCGGAGCTCGCAGCTTGACCCTGCAAAAGCATTGCAAGCATAGGTGCCCTGCTGGGGCTGGCGGGGCGCTGCAGTGTAAAGAAAGCTCTGTGCTTGAGCATTAGGCAAAAACTGGGTCTTCAAGCTGGGCGACGAAGGCCTGGGATATTATGAGGCCGGCTTGGTAGCAGGAAGTGAGACCATTCCAACGTTTCATGTTTGCCACGCATTCTACGAGTGGTGCAGGAGATACCGCCGAAGAAGGCAGCCAAGCCCGCAGATCCTGCCAAGCAGGAGAAGGATCCGCGCAAGCGAAAGCCAGCTGCGGCGAGCAGCGGGGCGCAGGGCATGGGCAATCCTGGTCCCGGGCATAGTTCGGAAGGTTCTACCGCAAGGGGTGTCTGCTTTTTGGCATGTTGCTGACCTGATGGAAACGCCAAGGCAATGAAGCTTACGATGAGCTCTTCCCAAGTTCAATGATGGGTGGAGCCATGATGACCACGCACAGTGATGACAGCGACGACGACGATGGGAAGAAGAAGAAACAGAAGGGAAAAGATGGAAAAAAGGGCACGGCAGAGGACAGTGTTGCAGCCAACAAGAAAGGTGCCGAAGCCAAGAAGCGCAAAATGAACGAAAATCAGCAGTGGCAGAAGATCGACAACATGATCAAAAAGGGGAAGGTCACATCCATGGAGTCCATGGAGGCCCAAGCATCCAAGAAAACTGGGAAAACATCTCATCTGGCAACGCCGGCGTTCTTCTGAATGTTGCAGCTTGTTTCACCAGGCGTTCCATGGACGGCGGAAGATAGCGTTTCACGACAAGCGGCAGATTCAAGATTGAAAGGTAGTTTCCATGCTCAGCCAGATCCAGACGTGCCAGCATGCTGGAAAGAATTCGCTGAAGGGGCTGTTGCGCTTGATGGTGTTGCCAGGTTAGCTTTGCTCCAAGCTGCCTGTTCGGATATGAACTGGTGTCACAAGGTCCTGGTGTGGCTTTTCATGCATGGAGGACGGTTGTGCGTGATTGCACGGAGATCTTGCTTGCGCCGCGGTGAATGGCTAAGACATTTCGATGCCTTGACACTTTGTCGTTCACAGGGAAACCAGTGTAGTAAAAAGCTCTCAGCCAGCATCGGGGAGTTCAGACAAGTATATAATTGAGGGAAAAATAGGATTTGAAACAGGATTTCGGATAGGGTCAGATTCCGGAATGCGCTTTAACATAGGAAAAAATTAGAGTGTAAATAGGATGATGAAAAGCTTTTCGGAGGGCTCGGATTTCGGCAGAGTAGGTAAGCAAGAAAGGCACGCATTGCTCTTCGGCCGGCGTGCGGCGCTAGGGCCGCAAAAGGGGGATGGGTGGAGCTTTCAGCCGGTTTCGGGGAGGTGGGGGTGGTCCAAAGCGAGCTAAAAGGTCCGGGGAAAGGGCGATGGGTGGAGCCTCTAGCTGGCTTTGGGGAGGCAGAAAGTGAGCTTGCATTCGAGTAAGCAAGGAGCAACTTTACCTACCACGTTAAGGGGTGGATGCACCGAGTAAGCACGGAGCAACCCCACTTTCACTGTCAACCGCTGGGGCGCCGGGAGAGGGAGCCTTCAGCATGCCCACCTCCACCCCCTAAAGGCCCCCCATTCCTCTTGTTGCAGCGGACGGTTATTTTGTTTTGAGGGGGCGGGGGTCCGGGAGGGAGGGCTGTTTTTCCTGTTTTTTGCTTAATTTGTTCCTATTTGCTTCGTATGTTAGGAAATGTTTGGAGAAATATGTAAGGAGGTCGCTGAGGCCCCCCTCCCCCGCTCCCCCTCAGCCTCTCCCGCCTGTGACCTCCGGCATCGGAATCGTCGTGGCAGGAACCACTTTGGTCCAGAGCCCGCCCAAAGCAAGCCGAGTGAGTGGAGTTAGGGTAGCTAGCAAACCAAAACTTCCAAATGCTGCTAGACTCTGCCAGACTCTTAAATTTGCCATGCATGTGAGACCTGCGCACATCCTCTCTCCGTTGAACAGAGCATTGCTATTCATGCCGTTGTCCAGTCTGTGTTCAGGATATGCCGTCATGTTTTCAGCAGTCAGTGGTCAAGATCTCCGTTTACGGATCCCAGTGCCTTCTTTTGCTTATCAGCTGACTATGTTTGCGTTGAACATCTAGTCGCGCACCTGTACGAATGTGTGTACGTTGTGAATTTCTTTCTAGTTCGAACAGTCTTGCGTTAATTATGCGGGTTGTCGTGGTATTGCTGCTGTTGTGATTGTTCCATGGATGTTGCTGCTCATGCCCATGTTTTGACTCTTTTTTGCTGGCCTGTTTGTTTCCTATATTCTTCATACTTTTCCCTATTGTGTAATTTCGTTCCTTTTTTTCGTATCCATGATTCCTATGTTAGCATATAAATCAATGATTTCCTGCGTTTCTGATGGCTGGCTGACGATACCCTTTACCAAACTAGTGACGAGTTTGGCGCCATGACTGCAGGATTCGTTGGGAGCTTCGTGCAGCACTGTCGCTCGCTGAGCGCACTGGACAAAATGGCCATCGCCAGCAAAAAGCAATGCGGGTTCTCGCGCGGCGCAACGGCCGGGATGCAGTGCAGATCAATAGTGGACCACGCAGCACCATTCGTGGTTAGGTGGTTCTGAAGCTCGTCGTTTCCAGCATTGTGTGGCTCAGTTCCATGCATTGGGTGTCGGCTTCGGAGCCACATGGCGCATGGTCCACGGCTTGGATGAATTGTGCAAGCGTTGATGCTTGCTGCAGCGCCTGCTAGGTGCCATGGTCACGGATTTCCGATCTGCTCCACTACATGGTCTTCGAGTCCTTCTCTTGCAGCCGATCAGGTGGGGCCACGGCAGCGAAGCCACGGCCACTTCGGTATTTGTTCAGTAGCTGCTTGAGGTGGTGTGGGCCTCCTGGCGCCGTTCGTTTTGCAGGCAGTGGGAAACTCGACCACCAGCAAAGCACTGGTCCCTTTCGGACATTGCCGAACACGCCATGCCTTGCATTGCCGGTCTGACCATCAGGATTTACGAGTAGCAGCAATGATCGGAAATGAGTGCCAATGCATCAAGACAGCCCAGCAACTAACTCGCATGGCCTATTGGCGTATAGATCTCGTCATGCTACTATTTGTTGAACTAGCAACATCAGGCACCTTCACGTGCAGCACCGTCCTCGCCAGCCGAAAGGCTTCAAGAAAGCTCAGCTCATATTTCACAGTTCAGACCCTAGCATCGGTATGGCAGCGATGGCTTTCGTGATGGCAAAGAGCCTCCCGTCCTGCAGAAGCCGTTGCGCCCCGAAGTCATGCCTCCACCCGATCTGGCCTAAGCGTCCATGTCTAAGGCTCCGCCTCTACACCAGGCTCTGCCATGCTGTCCGCGAGCACGAAAGCTTCGGCGCAGCCGCCGCCACAGGGCAAAGCCCCAGTGCAGGTGCCGAAAGCGGTGAGAATTGCGGGCAGCACCGATTCGGTAACCGGATCTGACCCCAACTGTGTGAAGTGAGCTGAGGTGCCACCCAAAGCGCAGCTGGCAGCACAGCCACCAGGTGTGCGGATCAAGGCGTCTCTTGGATGCAAATGTGCATCATTCCTCTGAAGAATGGAGGGGTCCGGGTGGAGACTCCGGGGAAAAGAGACTTGTCTATTCCAAGGCTGGACGCCGCGATCGAGGCAGACCCGTTCGATCTCAACAGTTGGGATGCGCGACTGCGCGAGGCGATCCAGGACACGGGTGGTAGAGAAAGACGCGTCTTTTTGCGGCTTCGGAGACTTCCCTTATCTTCCCTTGGAGGAGGGCAAAGCGGAGCCGGTCTTCGAGCGGGCTGTGACACAGCTGCCGTATGCAGCTCGAATTTGGGCGGCCTATGCCGAATGGTCCGAGATGCAGGAGTGAAGCTGCTGTGAGCGAGGTTTCCCAACCGATGGATTCACAGAAATCGCGCCTGAGAGCTTGCGGCAAGACTGAGACTGTAGGACTCTGCAGCGGCTCTGGGGGTGTACAGCCGGTGTCTACAGCAAGTGTGGCGGCCTGAGTGGCAGATGCCATGCCCAGGCCTCCAAGCAGCAAGTCCTCACAGTTTTCATTGACAGCAGGCCGAATCTGGACCTTTGGCTGTCATTCCTCAACTTCTCCAAGCGGCATCAGACGCTCGAGGAGGTCCTGCGATCGTATGGAAGAGCCCTTGATGTTCTCGGCAGCGACTGGCGGGCCTGGAAGCCCAGCTCAGCACACCGTCCTCGGCACCCCAACCAGCGGTTGCATGTCTGAGGCTGCACCAATTTGGTCCGACTATCTCGCTCTGTTGAAGCATGCCTACAATGTCCAGCAGAAGAGGGACAAGTGCCGGAAGCAGATCACAGATCATTCACCCGACCTCTGCTGCTAACGGCCTGTGAGTTGTGCGTAGAGGCTTTGTGCCGCGCAGGAGAACCCGGATGCAGAACTGCAGGGGAAGCTCTTGGCCGAAGACCCGAATCCAATTGACAGCGCGCGACGAACACTGAAGCCCGCGCTGAAGCAAAAGCAGGACGGACCAAACACCTGACATGATGCACGAGTCACTTCGCAGAAGCTGCGCGACAAGATCAGCTAAACTCAGGGTTTGTGTTGTGGTCGCCGGAAATTCATATTCATGGTTCTTTATTTAGCGTGTGCTGGTTTTCCCGCAGCGCACTCTCACCAGCAGCTTTCTCATATTCGTCTTGGCCAAAGGAGGAAGCTGGGAGGGCATCCGCAGATATATCAGATGCGGAATTCCTTCGTGTGTCGGAGATTCTGAAGCGACTTGTGTGCAGGTTAACAGAAAGTATTCGCGAATGTCTTGAGCTTCAGAGTGCAAGTTAGTTCGTATCGTTGCATGCTCGCGCTCAGGATTGACACGGATTTCCTACGTTGCGTTTTCCAGCGCTGTGCGGGGGCTTCGCACAGCACCATGGACAAGCTCTGGGTGGGCTACGAGCAGTTTGAAAAGTCGCAGGCCTCTGCTTGTTTCGCTGTCGAATGCTTTCAGTTTCACTTTGGTGTTGGACTCGGTATTCATCACTTCCAGGGCAATCCGGCCTTGGCGGCGAAGCTGATGTCCGAGCACATGCCGCGGTACGTCCGTGGCAAAGCAGCATACAAGGCACACCTGTGGGACACAGAAGATACCTTTCGACTTATTGGCTTGCACATTGCAGCCATGCGATCCAGCTGTTTCAGCTCATACATTGTTTTCTTTGTTGCGTTGGCCGGGCAAGTTAGTTTTCATTGGACGAGGTAGCGTCAAACCTTAGTATCGATGTGTGCAGACCCAGCGCAAACGAGCGCAGGTATTTCCCATAACGACGGTGTGAAGCTCACTGGCGGCATCGTTCTTGCTTAACTAATGGATCACATGGCTTCACATGAACGGAAAGAACTTGGCAGTAGAAGAGGGAAAAGATCGCATTCGGAGCGCAGCGGAGAGTCCAACTGGGGTGCTTTGCTAAAAACGCGCAGGAGCTCTCGCAACTGGCTGCAAACATCGATCACTATGCAGTGGCTGTGCCGCTGACACCACAGAATGTGGCAGACCAGAGCAAACTGCGCCTTGACTTGCCGGATGCAACGTGTGGCATCCTAACGCAATGCCAGATTTCCAAGGTTTGAGAAATGGCGGGCTGTGCTTCGCTTCGAGCGAACGAACCCGCTCCAGTTGGGCACCGAAGAGCTGACTGCACGGGTTGCCCTCGTCTACCAGCAGGCAAAGGGCTGCGAGTGGAAGCGTGCACTAAAGAACGGATTCCTGAAACGTTTATGCCATGTGTCTTTCAGACAAGCTCAAGTCTCAATGATCGAGGTTGGATTGAAGGCTCGTGTCTGGGACCGGCTAGAGGTCACTGTTACACAAGAAGCTTTCTCACATGAGCTGTGCCCAACCGACGTGACAGACAAGTTTGCAAACCTGGTAAGATGAAACGCTACTTTGTGACCCACTGTAGTCACCGGCGACGAGACAGTCGCCAGCCTCAGGCGTCGCTGGCATGCGGCTTCTTTCCGGACTTGTGGTTCGACTTCTCCGCATGGTTGGACTTGGGCTCCTTGTGAGATTTAGTAACTGTAGTAGAAGAAATCGCGCGCTTCTATGAGTCTGTGATGTGTCAGCTGGAGGAGAACAGAACTGTTGAGCTGAGGCGGGAAGCAGGAGGAGGCCACGGACGTCCTGCGCAAGGCAGTTGAGCGGTTCTTGCCAAAGGTGGTCTCGAAGCATCCAGTTACCCGGGGGAAGCCGTCGCATTCAACACGACAGAGCCGCGGCAGTCGCCTCAGGATCTGACTCTGCGACTGCTGCTGGCGCAGCGCTTTGAGCTGGGCGAGTCGCCCTTGGTGGCAAGCAAGCTGGAAGCAGCAGACGACGAGTACAAGCATCTTGGAACCGAGAGTGGAGAGCTTTTGCAGGATTCAGCACGCGGCACTGATGACAAGTCTTTGCCAAGGAAGTTGATGGAGGACATGCCGAAGCCGTGCCCACTAGCGCTCATCAACTACCTTGCTTATGCTCCTGTGCAGACAGCTTGGGTCGTAGTGCAGGCGTGTCAGTGCTTTGGATCGTTGTTCATCTTCGTTCAGTAGTCAACTTGTGCAATTTTGGCTTTGCTCTTGACGACTCCTTCGCGCAGAGGTTAGAAGACAACGGGGAGCAAATGACTTCCGGGATACATTCCTGGAAGTAACGGAGGCATCTCCGCACTGCAGCTGGGAGGAGCCACTGGCATGTTTGCAACAAGCCTTCGAACAAGCCAGCTTTTTGGCCAGTACAGCGCGCAGATTGTGTCAGTAGCTGCCGTGCTCTTGCTGCAATCGTTTGCTTCGCGCTGCGCGGCAGGTGTACGTGTTTGCGGCTATGACGGAGTATCATGTGTACGGCTCCATCGAGGACTCTTGTGAAAGTTGGTAGCATAAGCCGTTCGGAAGACAGAGACGAGCAGAGACAGCAAGAGCCAGAGCAGAGCAGAGACAGCAGGCGGCGGCTGCTGTCTTCCGCTTGGGCCTGGACCGCTATGCGGACCGTGAGCCGGCCTTGCTCGCCGCCTACGTGAACTTCCTGCAAGGCGCGGCCGACTCAGCGCGTTGTGCCGCCCGTCTTACGGGGATTTTCATGCTGAGGTTGCAACGATCTGCGCAGCGCGCGCGCAGAGCTTTCGCAGGGTGTCCTCGAGCGACTGCAACAGGTGAGTTTGCAATTGCGTATATCTTACATGTTGATGTGCATGAGAATGGTGCAGTCATCCCTAACCTATCCGAAGTGCTGCCGGCGATGCAGGCTGTGCGCGATCGGCTGGCAAATCGCGAGGAATCTGTGTTGATTTCCTCCGTATTCTAATTGAATAAACCGGAAGCCGGAAGCCATGTGGATCCCAGGAGAGTCTTGGACTTCGGGAAAGTTTGGCCTTTCTGTGGCAGAAGTGGGCGAGGCCTCCGAGCTACTAAGAGTAGCTCGCAAGCATGTTGCACAGGCAGGCGGCTGGTAAAGGAAAAACTCTAGTACAGTACTACACCTCACCCTAGCATTGTTTATGTTATGTTGGCACGAAAAAACTCGTTACTGGGTCTGGGGTCTCGGCCCCCAAGTGGTGCAAGTGGTCAACTGGTGCACGCGGTGAAAAGATTGCGCGTACTGCCTTTGTCGCTGATCGACTCTCGCTTGCCGCGAAGTCGTAAAAGTAATGGTAGTAATCGTAGCAATGGTAGCAGCAGTAGCACTTCGAAGTTCGATTATTTTAGCTGCCACTCTGATTACGACTCGAGGCCTCGTATCAATGGTTTAACCTGAAACGAACCTGGAATGAGAGGCGTTGCAGAAACTTTCACTGTAGCTACTTCATCGAGAAAGTGTGCGCGATCACCCAAGCAAGGCGTGCATGCAGCTTCGCAACGTTCCACCCAAGACATGCACGCGGAAAGCCTGGAGACTCCACATTGAATGGACACGGATGGCTCATGGAATGGAATGGACACTGATGGCCTTCACATGTTCGAAATCGGCAGTTGCTCGCCCCCTCGCACCGTTTGAGACGTGCTGAGCCGCTGAACGGGGTTCATCGAGAGAACGGGAGTTTGTTTGCTAATGAGGTTCGGACGTTTCATGTGCAAGCCGGCGGCTGAAGCTTTTTTGACTCGCCAATATGCGATGTGGAGGATGAATATTTTTCACTTGCGGCGGATTAATGTCATTTCAAGAGTTTGAGGCACTTGATTTGTCCGTTGACCTTGGTGAACGGTGCCCCGTGATGGCGACTGCGCTCTAGGTCCAGCTGTCAGCCCACGAACATCTGCAAAGGGATTCAAGGGCACCCACAGTCACTAGCATGTACAAGCACAAGTACAAACCAGGTGTAGTTACCCTTGAACAGGCTAGAATGCTACTTCGGCGACGCAGAGGCAGTGCGGCGTGCCACATCCTTCCGTGATTCCGAGACTTGCTTCAGCAATAAGTAATGAGTGAGTATGATTTGCAAGTCCAGGGGCTACGACAGAAGACTAGGGAGCGGCTTCTGTGCCCGTCCAGGAGTATCGCAACCTCCAGCGGGACCTGGAAGTAGATGCCGAAAATATCTTGCAAACACCTATCTCTTTGGGCCTGCCGCTGTCTCAAAGACTTGCCTTGGTGACAATGTACTGCGTATTTATTCGAAACAATGCAGAGGTCCACCTCAATCCAAGAAGTGGAAGAAGGTTTCCGTTTCCTCCATCTGATTCCCAGGCAGGGCCAGCAGTTCTAGTTGGTGGTTCGCGATGCGAACACCGGCAGGTCAACTCGTCCTCAGCTTGCGGCCTGCACAGAGGTTGTGGAAACGGTGCAGCTCGAGGCTTGAACTCAAGTGTATCGGTACAACGGTTTACAACGAGACCTTTGCAAATGTCCCCAGGTATCCTAAGCAAATGAACCGTGCATACTGACAGGATCAATCTGTTGCAGATGCAGAAGGTGATCACAGACGCTTGGGGAATGCAACTCCGGCGATTGGGCTTTCTTCTCACATTGCGCGTCCTGACACCTCCAAGATGTTGACATTCAGACCGGCGCTGGACGTTGCCAGTGTTCGGAAGAGGCAGCTGGAAGCAGGTCAGGAGCGTGAAGACAAAGCTCAGCTGCCGGTGATGATTCCAAAGTGTCTCCAAGACCTGCTGGCCGTGCTTCCTTCCAGGCTGTGAAAGCTTGCTTTCGAAAAAGCTTGTGAGAGGTCTTGTGAGAGAGAACTGAGAAACTCCAACCCATTGACATGTGTGAGAACCCAGAGGCCACTGAAAGGAGCAAAGCCTGATGTGGACTACCTTCTCACAGTCCTACAGACGGTGTCGATTCCTCCAGTTCCTGTGGCCTTGCTGAACAGAAGGCTCATGACCAGCACCAGGTCGAGTGCTTGTGAGCATTAAGGTGAAGGAGCTGGATACATTCCGGTACGATAGTCTGCGACTTCTGAAGACAGAAGAGGACGTGAAGTGGGCTCTGCAAGGCAGCAGATGCCCAGTGCCCGGTTGATTGTTCCAGGACACTCGCAGGTTCGTGAAAGATGAGGATGATGGGAACGGCTTCTTCAGTTCCCGAAGTACACTTTACCGAGAACGGCTGCACGCAAAGCGCACGCTGATCTGCAAGTGTGTATGTGTATGTGTCTATGTCTATATATATATGCATATACATGTGTGTGTGTACATACACACACACATGCCTATATATATATATATATATATATATGGTACCCCCCCCCCCATGTACCCACGCCTTTCCTCTAAATCCCAGTTTTCGGAAGGCGTGGGTCCGCGGGATCCCCTTCGTCCCCAAGCCTTTCTCCTAAATCTCAGGTTCAGGATGGCGTGGGAGTTTGGGATTGGGGGCAGCGCCTGCAGATTGTACTTTATTATTTCATGTCATTGGCGGGTTCCCTCCAAAATAGCCCCGAATCATCCGAATCATCTCCGAATCATTTTGATTCGGTCCCGGCGCTGGATCCAAGATCCAAGATTGCCCAGAGGTCTTGCGCGGGCAATCTTGGATCCGACCCTCATCCGAATCATCCGAATCATTTCCGAATCATTTTGATTCGGGCCCGGGCCCGGATCCAAGATTCAAGATTCAAGATTGCTCAGGGGTCTTGCCAAGCAATCTTGGATCCGACCCTTCATCCGAATCATCCGAATCATTTCCGAATCATTTTGATTCGGCCCCGGCGCTGGATCCAAGATCCAAGATTCAAGATTGCCCAGGGGTCTTGCCTGAGCATCTTGGATCCGACACTCACCCATTGGATCCAAGATTCCTTGGCAAGACCCCTGGGCAATCTTGAATCTTGGATCTTGGATCCGGGCCCGCGCCCGAATCAAAATGATTCGGAAATGATTCGGATGATTCGGATGAAGGGTCGGTTCCAAGATTCCTTGGCAAGACCCCTGGGCAATCTTGAATCTTGAATCTTGGATCCGGGCCCGAATCAAAATGATTCGGAAATGATTCGGATGATTCGGTTTCCCTCCTTACTCGGCGTGTGTATTGTCATGGTAGTTATAACATCTGGTTTGTCATGAAGTATGCCAGTCATTATTTAGTCAATACTGTGTTTGTTGCTTCAGGAGATGTAAGTCCAGCACGATTCTGAGTATCGTTTTTATCATTTACACGTTGACGTAATCCTCCATGATCTAGCCCATTGTGCAGTGATCTGTTCAATCAACTTCATCGTCATTGCAGTTATCGTACCGTCAACACCAAAATGAACATCTTATGTTCCAGACTTATTTCCCGGCTCCCCTTCGCCTTCTATTGGCATGTTGGTTATATGCAAGGTCTGGTCTTTTGTGAAGTATGCCAGTCATTTACGTTACCATACAGCTGTGACTGCCGTGATTCATGCCGTCATTTCGGTTTTACTGTTTGGACATCTAGACTAGCACAGCAATTCCATTCCAGCGGCGTCGTACAACTAGGAAAACTGAAGTTCATGTTGATAGAACTGTTAATACGCTTTTGACATGTGCAAAAATGTTGATGAAATTTAGTCGGCCTAACCGGCCTAACCACTAGTTTTATAGCTTGACGGATTGGCCGGATTCATTTGTTGGGCACACATATGACATATGTGCTCTTGCGATGTGATTACATATGTTGCTGCATGTTTCGTGAACATCTTCATGAAATCAATCCTTTCATGCTGTATAAGACTAGGCATGAATCTCTGCCTGAAGACGGTACTGTGATAAGACCACTTAATTTATCGTCTTCGTCCGTTACCGTGTACGGAACTAGACGTATCGTCTACTCTTGTCTAGGACTGAAGCCTTGACTCAGGGAAATTTAGTGTTATATGGAAAATGTATTGGCATCGCTTACACTTTTCTAAAGGTACATGTATAACGTGTGTTGCTTCATGCTTGGATGGGGTGTCTCTAGGTGGTGCACCTTCACGTTTGTACGTCTTTAACTGGTGCTTACAGTAAAGAGCACTACCCAGTACAGTCACTGCAAAACTCTGACATGCAGGAGTCTTTATTGGTCATCATGCATTAGGTGCGAAACATGTAAACGACTCTGTAAGAACACACAAGCTCCAGCTCGATAGGATGGACATGATTCAGATGATGCATAGGCTAAAGATTACCGAGCTCAGAATAAACATGTAAACCTTACAGTTCATATCAATACAAGACAGCGACAACAACAAATTTATCTAGTCAGTACCAATTGCAATATAGCTTAACATTTACTTTTACTGGTCGGGCTAGTATGAAGCAGGGTGAACAGTAGCCACGGGACTAGCGTACCTAGGAAAGTTTGTTTTTCAGACAAACTAATACAGGGGGAAATAAAGAGTGTTAGCTGGGTTACGTACCTAGGAAAGCTTTTATTCAGACATGGTAAGACAGGCGGAAATAAAGAGTGTTAGCTGGGTTGGTATTACTGAAGCAATCAGAACGGTGGGTATAACCATAGTAGTAAAGACACTGGTCACAGGAAGAGCATCATTGGTAAATGTAACAGTGAAACTACACTTGGTGCTGGCATAGAAGAAAATATTAGTACTTTCGTGTACTTTGCATACAACCAAGAACAGTGGAGATTGGAAAGGTTTGTATTGCCACGACGACGATCCCGCACAATTCAAGCGCAAAGCGTGGGTACATGAGGGGGGGGTAGCATATATATATATATACATGTATGCAGGTATGTATATATGTATATATGTATGTATGTATGTATGTATGTATGTATATATATATATATATATATACTTGTCACCTGCAATGCAGTCGCCTGACTCGCCACGCGGGAGCCAAATACATATGTAGGTATGTATGTATGCATGCATGTATGTATATGTATATACAGGTGTATGTAGATATATGTGTGCATGTACACGTGTGTCTGTGTTGTTTGTGGAAACGCTTGACTCCGTGATGGACACAATTAGCGCCCAGGCCAGAAAGTCTTGGTCGAGCAACACGCGAAGCCAGATTCCTGAGATGTGCCCAAAGAGCAAAGACCTGCACATTCGGGTCGGAGGGCAGATGTCGCAGCCTTCAAAAAGCAGTACTTGCACACGTGCAGCCCCGGAGCATAAAGACAACAGTGAGCTTGCGATAGGGATGGAAATGATTAGGTCGATAACGACACAACCGAAGTACTGTAAGGTTCCCAGGTCATGCTACGCAACGAGTGCCAAGTCTCGTTCGACGGAAGGGTGCTGCATGTTAGCATTGAGGTTTAGATCTGTGACCTGCAGAGTTGTCGGCCAAAGGCTGTGCGTGTTAAAGCTTGCCAGTTCCGGTGACTGCCGGAAAAGCGTCGTGAAAATCATCGTCCGATGCAGAGACTACCTGAGCGTTTTGATTTGATGCATGAGTCTTCCGGCACTTTGCTGTAAGCATATGCTGCAGCATTCCACGATGCCGCGCTGCCTCGTTCGCCTTGGTTCAGAATCTCGGACCTAGGTTTGGCCAGACAGCGGGGAGGCGGAGGCCGCTGCTGGAGGCGATGAAAGATGCACTTCGACGTGGTCTGCGGTGTCGCGGAAACTGTGCGACGGACAGGCAGTAGATACTAGCATTCATGTGTTTAAACCCATTCAATCCAATTGCCGGCTGTGACATTGACACGCGTACTCTATGCAATCGTATACAGTCCCTGGGATGTTCCAGGGCATGAACTTGGTCGGAGGAGTGGAATGGAACAGGGCAACCCAGCACTTTCTTGAACTCCAAAAAGTTTGGCAGTATTCTGCATTATCGCGGGATTGGACAGAGTTTGCTACCCCGCTGCTACAACCACTGTGTTGGTAAAGTGTTGATGGGAGCAGTCTGCCGCGAGTATGTACGGGAGAAGAATGGGTCACATATGGTAGGGACAAAGCATGTCAGTTCCTTGAAAGCTGCCGTGAGAAAGCCAGACTTGTCCAGAATCCTTATGTGGAATCATGCGGTGCGTCATATTACCTGTCCACGTGCCGCCCGGCATGTGACCGACTGACTTATGGACAGCATGTTGACATGTGTCTTCTTGGCTTCGTGCCTGGCAGGCCAGCCCCGTTTCGTCGGATGCTCAGTCGCAATCCACAGCTCAGCTATTGAAGTCCTTGCCCAGGCCCCAATGCTTGTTCCGATGTCAGCTCCCATGCTTCTGAGGCAGGATGGACAGAGCACCATCATGGAGGAAAACAGTGCCGTGGAATGTATGAGTTCTGCATAAGTTGAAGTCGGGGACCTATATGTTGCACCAGGTGCAGTTGGCAGTGCCAGAACGCTTGACTGGCTGGACGTCCGCTCGAAAAAGCCGTTTGCGCCTGAACTAATGGCGTCCCTGGACCAGCCTTATGACAAGGAGCATTGGTTGAGGGGGGCTGTGGGCTACAATGCTGTTCTTATGTCCGGAAATGACGATCGCTTTCGAACCTGTGCCTCTGGTAGAGCTTTCTCTTGGCTCCAGTTCTGCAGAAGCCTTTCTTTGCTTCATGGGGGAGAGGCGCATTTTCCACATCCTGCCATTCTTGGATGGTGTAGAGCTGGCAGCGGCAGAGGCAGCGAGCCATGCAGCGAAAGGATTTGTTTTGAGGCGGCAGCTCTGGGAAGCCTTGTGCCAAGCCTACATCTCGGAAGTCCTGCAGAATCAAGATGGCGAGATTGTTCCGTGGCCAGAGCGACAAACGGACAGCGACGGCAAGCAGTATTTCAGAGAGGTTTTCGATATCGCCGACATGGTGCGAAACGGCGAAGTCAACCACTGTGAGACATGTGGCACGTGGTACTCTTCTGCCTCTGGTCTTGACTGCGAAGGCTGCGACGGGCATTGGTGTGATGACTGCGCCGAACGCGGTCCTTCTCGCTTGCCATGTCCAGAATGTCCCGATTTCAGCAAGACGCATTGTTGGCAATGTTTTGCCGAGGGCAAGATAGAGCGTTGCGAGTGTGCGGACACGGACAGCTGGCACTCCTGTTGTGGTCGTCACACTTTTAGATGTGAACGGTGCGATGTGAGGTTGTGCCGCGGATGCAGCTCGTGGCATGACTGCAAAGGTGGTAGCGGCAGCGAAGACGACGAATAAAGCTAAGACGACACGAGTGCTGGAAATTTTGGAGCCTTTGTCGCGACAGAGAAATGGCACTGGTTCCCTCCTTTGATCCCTGAGCGTTGACATTTGCTAGTCGACTTGTATATGTTGCAGGCTTAGCAGTGCATCCAAGATGTGTGCTGAGCCAGTGTTGTCGAATGTCCGTCCACGTGAAGGTAAAGCACCTGCCATTGGTCGCTGGGCTAACATACAAGATGCCGGTACAGCAATTGATGTTTACTGTGCACTCACAGTGTCAGGAGCAGAAGCGACTTCGGCGTCTTCTGGATGAGGCAAGACAAGAGGGGCGAACACCGGACGATTCTTTGCTGCTTGACATCATTGCTCCATTCTTGATTTCTACTTCACGCTGTCTTGACCAGCTTCTTGACTGTAGCTTCTGAGGCTTCAGCGCTGTGGAAGGCACGGTCTTCTCAATGAGGCTGGGCGAAGAAGCCGTCACAAGTCGTTTCAAACCTTTGAGTTGGAAGTTCACCCGTCGCAGGTCCTGGATTTGCTGGATGAGAACAGAGGCTAGCCCCTGTGCAGTGAATGCAGACACCTGCAGCCTGGAAGCCCTGTGTCTGACATTTAGCCATGAAGGGGCTGAAGCAAGGAGAACACGTGTTTTGTCTGACCTCTCCTTCCATTTGTTGGCAGGCGTCGCAGTGGAGGCTGCGATCGCGGCTTGTTGGGGCCACGAGCACTTTGTGTTGCTGAGGAGATACGTTCAAGCATGACCTGTCCCGCTGCTGAGGCGTTCCCACTGGACGATGGCAACAGGCTGCACACCTCATTTCCCCTCTATGTACAGCGTCCAGCAGTCCATGTTGTGAACAGCTTGTGGGCTTTGATCGCATGTCGTGAAGGCTCTATCCTTTATCACCAGTCTTCAAAAAGAGGGTCTGGAGATCAGCCAGAAGGTGCGGTCCAGCCACAACGGTGCAACCTGATGTGTGCATTTCCTGTTGTCGAAGCACTGGGATGTCGCGAGAGCAGGTGTTCACACCGTCTCCTCTGAGATAAGGTTGAGCCAGCAAACGCTCCACATAACAGCACGAATCAAAGCACACACAAGCCAAGACGCTTCCCCCCGAGCTTTAGCAGACTCGCTTCTGTCGCCGAAGCCATGTCTTTCTTCGTCAGACGAGTGGAGCATGTCTTTTCAGAAGGACTGAAGAACTTCCAGCAAGGTTCTCCGCACGGCGGGCCTTGCAGCTGTGCTCCTCAACTCGGTAAGTCTATGGCGACACCCAAGGTTGCAAAACGAACGCAAGCATAAATCATGCGGTTCTGCGAAGCATAAATCATGCGGTTCTGCGAACGGTACTGGGGACGATGTTCGTTTCATCGTCGCCCCACCATTTCCTCACCAGTGCCCTGCAGGAGCTGATGGACATGCCATTGTTGCGCCTGAGGCTACAGAGCTGCTTTGGCTCGTCGGCCGCGTGTCGTCGTCTGGTGTGTTCGTCTGGAGTGTGATGAGCTGTTCGAGACTTGGTGCCGGAAGTAGCATCTGCCAGGTCTTCCCCTGCATTAAGTAGTATTTTACCTTTCGCTTGCCTTGCCGATGTCAGGAAGGATCCTGGAGAATCGTTCAAGCAGGCGATCGCAGTACTGCCACATGGGCTGGAAATTCTGGGAGTGCTCTGCGCTGCTTCGGCAAAGCCAGAGTGGCCTTTCGAGATCGCCAGCATCGCCAGCTCGCAGCACGCTCGTGGATTGCTTTTGCTGGCAACCCGAGCAGAGGACGGCCAGTTGAAAGCTTGGGATATGCAGCGAGGCGTAGAACGAAGCCACTGGAGAGTTTCGGAGCCATCGGAGATCTGTGTGTACTCTTCGCTAAGCATTGTCCTACCCAAGATTCAGGCTGACGCCACTATGCTCCTAACCTCACTGGAATCTGACCTCTCAGCGATACGCTTTCGCTTCCCCGGAACACAGCTGGTGCCATCATTGGCCGACTTGACCGACAAAGCGAATGTTCCGTACAGTGCACCTGAATCTGGGCTCGTAGCAGTGGAAGTCTTGTCTGAGGCTCTGGGAAGCGAAGGGCACTCCAACTTTGCGGAGTTCCAGTGCCAGGGGCAAGCTGAGCACCGCGTGGACTTTGCTGCCTATGTTTCTCCGAATTCGCTGCAAGTTGTTGCCCAGTCGCTTGTTGAAGCTGCCAAGCTTCAGTTGCGGCAGTTGATCCGGGAGGTTTCGCAAGACCACCTTGCGAACGGCACAAGTTTCGCAGTCTGCTGCTACCAGCTCGACAAACATGTTGTCTGTTTAAGAGGCACAGAAGTTCAGAGCACCCGGCGTGAACTGCACCGGCTGCTACGCCTTCCTGCGGCGCCACTGCTGGTTCCCAGCGCAGCGCTGCCGCTTGCCGGCCAGGCGAAATCGTCAAGAAGTGTTTGCAACTGTCTCTTTGAGTGCTCGCAGTGCTCTTGTACAGGCTCCGGTGATGGCCACTGGGAAGCCGAGGAATCCGCACAGCAGTTGCGGTTCAAAGCCGACCTGGTGGAGAGGCTCAGCCTCTACCCAAGCCGCTTTCGTCAAAGGCATATATGAGTACCACCACTACATGCAGGATTTAGCTTCATTTTTTCACTTTGTGCACTCTTTGTAGATACAGATTAGTCAATGTCAATGATTGTCGGGGCAACAGCTTGTGTTGTCGTTGGCATCCAGCGCTTGAAGGACAACTTTGATGACAGTGGCTGGGGCTGTGCGTATCGTTCTTTACAGACTTGTGTCAGCTGGTACCGGCTGCAGCACTACAGCTGTGCTTCAGTTCCGAGCATCCCTGACATCCAACACCTGTTGAAACAAATAGATGAGGCGCATCGAGAGCTTGAAGTGGGTAGCAAGAAATGGATAGGCACTGTGGAGGGCATGTACCTTTTGCAGGAGTACCTGCAGGTTGATTGTAAGATGATGTATTGCCAAGATGCCACGGACATGGCGAGCCAGGCACAGCAAATGCTTCATCACCTGGAAACGGAGGGCACGCCAATCATGATGGGTGCTGGTATGTATGCCTACACGATTGTTGGGCTCTGCTTTGATTCTGCCACTGGGGACACAGCATACCTCGTTGTCGATCCTCACTACCCAGGGCAGGACGACATCAAGCCCATCCTCCAGAAGGGCTGGGTTGGCTGGAAGAACCTCGATTTCTTTGAGAAAAGCACTGAAGGAAGCTTCATTAACTGCTGCTTACCCCTGGTGCCCCGTGGTGCGGAGCATTTGTAATCCTCTGTCAGCACTTGCTCAGTCGGAGAGTTTTCCCCTGTTGGGTGAGTGGCTAGCGCAAGGCAAAAAGGACGGCATTGTCGACGGCTCTAAAGTACGTGCTTGCAAGACCTGTGCCTTGAATTGACCCCAGACTGGCCAAAACTCGGCAGAACGTTGTCGTGAGGCACTTTATCATTCTATTCGTGCCTGTTCTCGAGGGGTCTCCGGCTTAGTGCCGCCCAGTATTTCTGGACTGCAGTCCTTGACATGTTTCAGAAGAGGGGCCAGCCACGAGGCTTGGCGAAGTGGGCTGAAGCTCCTTGGCATTGGAGGCCAAAGCTCCTTTCGCGTAGGGCGTGGGCGATACCCAGCCGCTAATCCTCCAGTTCGTCGTTTCTGCCAGTGCCAATGAGCCTCTTCGCTTCACTGTTTTCTTCGCCTCTCAAGGGAAAGGCCTCTCGAATGATATAACAGTCGCGATCGCATCTTGATCTGTGGCTATCCACCCTCCTCCGCCCCGTAGCGCCATCTACTTGCAATTCCAAGCATTTGCATGCGATATTTGCGATGTTGCTGCCGCATAACTTTTTACGGAGTTTGTGATTGTTCACATGTTTTTCGTAGCCAGTTGCCGAGTGAACTTCTTCCCTTCCGGTTCTGCATTGGAGATGCTGCCAATTCTTGCACTCTGAGAACCACAAAGATGATGACTGATCCAGATTCAAAGCAAGCTCTGGCAGCAACAGAACTCTTACGCAGACCTCACCGCCACAACCAAAGCAATCTAGTCATGGAGTATACCGAAAACCCTGGGCTGGCCGATGTTCTCGACATGTTGTGAATTCTCGACATGCCTCCCATGGTCTGGTATCCGCAGCCTTTCTCGGTGCAAGCGTAGTGCATACAGTTGCAGTGCTGAATGACGTCTGATGGCATCGCTGCCTGTCACAAACCGAATCATCGAGCTTCCTGGTTGCATGTTTCACCACCTGGTAGTAGTTTGACAACACCTGAACATCCGTGAGACGTAGCCCCTGCATAGTCCTCACCACGAGTCTCATCATTGGGTTGTTTGCCGTTCAATCTGGTCCCTGTGGCGTAGTTTGGGTGACCGGCAGGCGCAACTTTCAAGGACGTGGACTGGCTCAGACACTCATGAAGCCCCATCGTTCCTGCTGCACCAATAACGCTGACAGACGAGTAAGCTCGGGGGTTCGGGATCTTTGGACAGAACTGGAGGAGTCGGTAGCTGTGGCTTTTCAGGTGTCGGTGTTGACTGACATCACGTCCGTTGACGAGATCTAATATCACGGGCATTGTGCCAAGAAGTAGTTGGTGCACACAACGTGTTTTCAGTTGATGAGTATGACAGTGACAGGTTCGCCAACATACTTGTACAGTTTTGGGTCAGGCTATTCCGGCGGTACGACGCTGACGGGACTGGAGAAGTTGACAAAGACAAGCTCGTAAAGGCTGGGTGGGTATTCTTGCAGGCTTCAGGCTCAATACCAGGCCGATGCTTCTGTGGGCAAGGTCCTCGAACTGCTGGACGTTTGCACAACGATTGCGCAGAAGGCTGTAGACTCCTGTGAGAAGACAGCTGGCAAGGCACCTTTGCTGCAGGGCATCACTGGGGCTGTCACAAGGCCGTGCAAATTGTGCGGAATCTGCGCAGTACAGCTGCAGCACGCAAGGTTCGCTATCAGGACTTCTTCGACTGGGTAATGCACCCAGCTGCCCCACCAGCATCAGTGCGCACGGCTGCCTGGTCGACATTAAGGCATGTCGACACTGACTCCGCGCATTCACCATGTTTCTAGTGCTGGTGTCTTTCTGAGATCGTCGTGCTTTCGGGGCCACCTGCAAGCGGGAAGAGCACGGTGTCGGCAAAGCTTGCTCCCTCGTTTGCAGCGAGCCACAGGTAACTAGCTCTTCCCTTGAGAGTCATCTGCAAACCCAAGCTTCAAGGTGCTCAGGTTGGGCTCGGAAGGCAATACTTTTGCTTTGAGTGCAGTGATTTCCAGGAGCGAGGAAGCCAGGCCGACGACAGGATGCAACTTCTATCTGCAGCAATGCAAGACGGCATCTGAGGCAGAACACCTCGGCATCCCCAAGCTCACAATACGTGATTTATTGCCGCTCAGCACATGTCGTGTTTAGAGCGCGTGCATAGCAGGATTGTCTGACTGTGGTACTCGTTTTGCTGTCCTATGCTGTGGAAGCGTGCGCAGACACATTGCAAAAGGGGGCTGGTCTGCAGGCGAGCGGCGATAGCTTTGGGTTCGGCTTTAGGGCGCCAAGTGGAAGGCAGGCAGGGTGCTTTCGCCACCATCTGCAGGTATTCCATGTTCGAGGTGATGGTTGCAGCAGAGTAGCCAGTTCGGTTTTAGACGTCCCTGGAATATTTACATTGTCTAACCGGCAGGCATCATCAAAAGAGGCGGGGTGGTGCCAGATCCATTGCTAATGCAACTGATCCAGGGCCGCGTCCGTTGCCGAGACTGTAGCTCAGCAGGATTAGGCAAAAGACTTGCGAAAGTGCCGCCACTTCCCGTGACTCTGCAGCTGATCAACTTAGGCAACTTGGGCTATGTTCTCGACGGCTTCCCTGAGACTTATAGCCAAGCTAAGCTTCTGGATGCCTTATTCGCAGACTCGGGGGATGCAGTGATGGCCCCTGGGCGGCTGAGATGAGACCCACCTCATTCGATTGTGCAGCTCTGCATAGTTGAGGCTGCCATCATCTTGGATGTTGATGCGGACAAGCTGCATGCCCGAAGAGCAGGGTCGGGAGCCCACCCTCCGAGAAGTCGCTGCAGATGATCTGTGAAGTGAGACGTACCAGCTGTGAGGTGTTGGTATCACAGGGCATCCGGACGTTCCTACCACACCGCTTGGATGCCACCTCGAAGTTTAGTGCCAGGCCCACCGGTGCGATATCTGATTTCTCTTCTTGCCCTGGCTATGCACGAGCAGCGCATCTTCTTTTTTGCGACAGGCGAAGATCCATGTGAAGCGAACATGCTGGATGACGTTACAGGACGCTGCACCTTCGGAATGCATTGCATGTAATGGGTGCTTCGAGAGTGTGGGTTGCAGATGACTGCTACATAGGACCGACGCATTGCAATGTGCCGTCTGGCCCCAGGAGAGCCGCTGACAGCTGAAGGATCGGGCCTTGACGAACAGGAGCTGGCGCAACGGGGGCAGGACAGGATTCAATTCCACTTGTTTCTGGCTGTGCACACGAGATGTTCAGAACTGCAGGAAGTGGCAGAAATGTCGCTGCATTACGGCAACCGCGTGCGGCGGGTATTGGCCAATGGAGCACCAGATGAAGTATGGAAGGCTTTGCAGGCGCTACATTCTCTCTGGCCATTGATTGCCACACCACTGCCAGAATTACTTCATGCACGCAGTGTGATGATGGCCGTGTAAACGGTAAACGTCCTGATAAGACCCTGAGAAGCCGTCACCGCCGCCACTATCACCACTTGCCTTTGCCAATGCCAACGATTCCACGAAAACTGATGACGAAGCAACTTGCTTTGGAAGGGATGGCAGTTGATGGCACCTGTCCTGCAGGGCGTCTTGAGCCACTTCAAGCCACAGCTTTCCTGAGAAGTTTCTTGCTTCGCACCTTGAATTATGAAGAATCGCCAAATTCATCTCCGGTGGAGTCGCCAGTCTCCTCGATAGGTGGAGGACTAGCGGACTAGCTTTTGAGAGAATGTTTCCGCGTGGCTCGAAGAGCCTCAGCCTCCAGGCTTGTATATCAACCCGCAAGGAGCCCTGCGACCCTAACAAAGGGCCTGGTCTGCCCAGCGAGTCCCCTGCAGCTTGAGTAAGGTAATTCGGTCTTGAAACGCGTATGGACTGACGCAAGATGCTGCGACTTGGATTAACACAACCGCAGCCCTTCAGCAGCAGCGAAGCAGGCATCTGCAATGGCTGCTGGACTAGTGCTTCTGTTGCCGGCCCATGAGAGAGCCATTTCTCAATGTGCCCGAGCACACAAGCACTGTTGGTCATCGCAGTCGTGGGTCGCAGCATGCGGGTTGTCTGACCAATGTCCCCTCCAGTTCCGCGATGCCCGCGAAGCCGTCCGTGCCTCAGTTCAGGTTGGCTGGAAAAACAGAGGCAGACTAGCATGCAGTATCATCAAGATGCCATCTCTCTCTCTCTGTCTGTCTGTCTTGGCTTGAGAACGTCAGTCATTCAATTTCAGTCAACCAATCAGTCAATCACACAGTCAATGACTCAGTGAATCAATCAGTGATTCGCTCAGTTAATCACTGAGAGTCAGTCAACCTCTAAGTCAATCAATCAGTCAATCGCTCAGCCAATCGCTCAGTCAATTGCTCGGTCAATCAACCAGTCAATTAATCAGAGAATCACTCATTCTGTCACTCCAGCACACGATGGTTTCGTCAATCCTTTGTGCACTCGCAGCGGACTCAGGCGGGTCGTGAGCCGATGTGCAATCATGAGGTGCAGATCTGGACACTGGTAAAACTACTGTCTGTCCGTCTGCCTTTCTGACCCTCTACCGCTTTCTGGCGGTGTCCGTGTCATCATTTTTCTTTGCCATAGCATGAGTTTTTTTGTTGGTATCCCCGTCCTGTGTCTGACTGGCATCTGCAGTGAGGAATCTTGCCGCGATGTTTTGCTTGCGTCATCGCAGTCGCCTTCACCATGCTCCAATGCTGCGGAGCCTTAGCTGCAACAGTCGGGGCTGTTCTTTCTGCATCTTGCACCAGTATACGGACATTCGGATGAGTTTGTGGGCATTCTGGTGATGCAACGGCAATCTTTTCAAGGCACGGGCTTCGTTTCACCGTCGCTTCCACTGCGTGGTCGGCCACCATCAACTCAGCACAAAGCAGAGAAGACGGAGACAACAGAGTTGAGCCCTTCGTGGGAAGCTCGCTGGGTCCAAGTCTCACTTTTTGAAAACTTGCCAAATCCTAGTTGCAGAAGTGGTTGTAGGATGCCGGCAATGCAAGCGAATATGCTTGTGACACTGAGGTTCGGCCTGTTTATACAGTTACCTCGGTGGCAGCACTTTGGTCTGCTAGACGTTCCTGCATGGATGCTGTAGCACGCTGCGCAACGGTGCTTGTGACCCTGCTCGACTTCGCTCCGACTGCAGCCAGTCAGATTGCGGAGCAATGCATGGGCTTTTAAACTTGGGACCATTGGCTTGAAGGCAGTCTCTCTTTGCTTGTGAGCCAGTGCCGGGAATTCCAGAATTCCAGGAGTCCGCCGCGGCCTGGAAAATCAATCCCACCGCCAGACGCTGGGCTGTCCTGGTGCGGCTGAAGGACGGGGCCCGCCTGCGGGTTCAGGTACGACATGCAAGCCGCATGCTGTCAGGTGCTGGGTGAGCTATGCGGGCTAGTCCTGGTTTGCAACGGCAGGCCAAGGGTTTCGAATCAACCCGATCACGATGTTTGATGATGTTGGACAGAAGTGTGGGAGATCTGCCTTCTAGGTGGCCGGCATGCTATGGTGCTTCTGTGATGATTCTTTCGCACGTGCTCTTTTGGCTGTGCGGCGCTGCTTCTGCACGAGTGGATGCTGCTGGGAAGCCTGCCCCGGTACCAACACCAGAGTCTTGGCTGCCGATTGTCCCCAAAACTTAAACAATGATAGCATGTTGGGGATGACCCGCTCTAGAAAACATCTCCAGCAGTTGCCAGCCTCTCGGTGTGCCTCTGAGTGCATGCACGCGTGTTTCAGTTTTTGGTCTGTGCTTGTCTCCATGTCCATGTTTCAGTGCCTCCCTCTGTCTGCCTGCCTCTGTCTGCACTCCCTCTATCTACATACATTCGCGTGCATGTGTTTGCCGGGCTTTGTGGGGTGGGGGCTGTGGTGGACCACCTGGCCACCTGGCCGCTACCAGTAGAAGAATGAGACCCGGGGCCTGTGACAAAAGTAGATCTGGACAGCAGAAGCACGGTGAGCTTTCCGGGAAGTTGCCATCAAGGTTCGATCTTGCTGTTTTCCGAGCCTACTTCTTGTGCCAGTCCATTGGAGGTTTCTCGAATGATTCTCACTGCAGATGTGGCCGTCCTGGCGGCTGCAGTCGCAGGCTGCGCCGCACCTGGTGCCTGGGGCTGTGCCGGTACTGCTACTTACGCCGGCGCAGCGACATGTCACAACAGTATCTATCTTGCACATGTTCTCTGCAATTTGGTGAGAAGCTGCCCCTACACCGGCGATTAGGTCACTTTCGTCGCATGCGAGAAACTCGTGAAGGCTGCGAAGCAGCGTCCCACAAGATCCGGATCCAGCAAGACTGCCCGCAAAGCTGCAAGAGATTCTGCGACAGCAGGGAGCTGGGATGAGTTTTCCTGGCGCTGCTTGAATGAAATCGACGGGTGCCTTCAAACATCTTGGTGAGACTTTTCTGATGTGGGATTCATGCATTTCGGCGTCACTGAGGCAACAACTGGTACCCGGTAGCTTTTGCAGATATCACTGCCAAGACCTGAGCCACAGCCACATGAAAGGAGTGCTCAGCATTAGGTATGGACAGGCTTGGCTACAAGTACGGCTGTCTCATCCGAGGACAAAAAACGACCGCATCGTATTGAGCTTTTTGGAGAGGGCCTGGTCCTGTGGTCTCTCGGCCCCAGATGCAACAAGCTTTCCAACAAGTGTGGCAGGTCTGTAGTGGAAGCGGATGCCAACTCGAACGGTTCATTTGGATGCGCAGATGCCGCTTCATTTCTCGAGGTGGGACACGGGTACTACGGCCTGGCATGTGGCCATGGATAGGTGCCCTCACCGTCTGGCGCCACTCTCTGAGGGACGGGTGGATGAGAGTGGCCACATTGATGCCATGACGAAATACTTTCGGATGACAGAAAGGTAGGATGGGTGCCGGGGAGGGGGTGGGGGCAGGCATGTTAGGTTATCGTCTGATGGCGTCGTGACACAAAGTCTGCTCGGATACGCTGAAGGTGTGTTGTAAACGGCTGGCTGCGACTTGCGAGCATCCCAGGAGTGCCCGTATCATGGCTGGACATTCGATGGGCGAACTGGGACATGCCACAAGATTCCGCAGGCACGAGTTTGATACTGTGAGATGGTGGCTGGCAAATGGACAGCCGGACTTAGTTTCAGAGCTGATCACACTGAGGCAACAAGCTTCGACGAAGATCTTGGGAGCCGCTGCAGTGTGACAGTTTTTCGCACATCCGAGCGGCAAGGTCTGATTTGGGTATGGGGGCAGCCCGGAGCAAGCATCGAGGAGGCTGACGAGTCGCTGATCCCTATCTGTGATGCGATGGAAAGCAGTGAGTTCGAGTGGATAGATGTTTCCAGGGACATGCCGTACTCTGCAGACATTCTGCTGGAGAACCTGTTGGACTCCAGCCACGTGCCCTTCACCCATCACAAAACAGTTTCAAAAAGAGAGAATGCGCAGCCTTTGCCGCTGCAAATCACCGAGCGGATATCTGCATCAGGCTTTCGAGGAGCCTTCAAGAAAGACACACCTGTTGGCAAGCAAGGGACCGATGCTATCAACAACGGCAGAAGGACGGCGCGTTCCACGATGTTTAAGGCGCCAACATACATGCACCATCGCATCCGCACCTCAGACTCCAAAGGTAACCTGGATAATGGGCGGCTCGACTGGGATTTGGCTCGAATTGACCCTGAGCTTCTCTGTGCGCGCGAGGGAAGAATGTGCTGAGTTGGCAGGTTTGAGACCTGGACGGTGGCCTATGCAACCCCTTCCGGACCGATGCGCTGCTTTGTGGCTGCAGTGTGTCAGCTTGGCCAAGAGCTGCAGTGTAGTTGCAGTGTGCTAGGGCTGCTTGGAGCCTCTAGACTACAGCTCTCAACGTGGCCAGGACCTGGAAGGAGTCGCCTCTTTGCTCGGTTTCCCTTCCGCTTTCCGGCCCCAAAGTTTGGGCCGAACTTGCCACGACTTCTTGTGAGGTCTGCATCTCAACAGATTGGAAGCCTGAACATGCCCGGCGTTCCAAGTTCCGAGTTGCAGGCACCTGCCGGACTGGCTAAATCACTTGGGACAGCTCCGAGTGCTGGACGACGACAACATCTTCTTGCCGATTCAGGAGCGTCAGGCCGCCTGCTTCCACTCTGTTCGCATCAACCGGCCCCACAGGTGCACCCAAAGACCCAAACGCTTGATCCTTGCCGACAGCTCTTGGATTTTGCACGCAGGTGCAGGATGCAGGCGGTTGGCTTCTCGGCCAAGTCAGAACCACAAGATCTCCGCTGCACCGCGTTTTCCAAATCATGCCATGATCAGCAAACATGTTTCCAGGAGGACGTACATTATGCCAACCAGCGCCGACACCTTCGTAACAGCGTTTCGAACCTGGTTCGACCGGGCTGGGCCGCCGCCGCATGCTCCGTCAGCTGTGGATGAGTATCGGAGCCGCCAACCCACGAGGGCTGAGCTTCTTGACAGTCGCCGAATGCAGGGAGCAAGATGTGCGTAGTTCGTTTGCTTTGAAGGCACAGATAATCAGATAATGCCGCTCAACCCCCGGCAGCAGCTCAGGAGAGGCACAGCACACCGCACATTGTGCCAGCTGCACCGGCGCTGTGCGGAACTCAAGAAAGGCTGTCAGCCTTTGCCGGGTCCTACTTTTCTTCGCAGCTGCTGCTGCACCCACACTATATTCAAGGCTTGCAAACGAAGATCAACCATGTTCATTCTGGGTACTAGTACTATACCTGGAGGATACAAGAGCGTGGATCTCAAGCTCACGCCCTACAGGCACTCTTGGCGCGGGCTCATGCTACTGACGCTGGCAAGTTGCGCGGTGGGGAAGGCTTGGCAGCTCTCTTGGAGCATCCAAGCCCGGCTGACTAGCCATTCGGTCGCAACAGACTTGCTTTTAAAGGAGAGCCTTGAGGAGAGCTGTCCAACTGAGGTGGGATGCATGACTACCCCCCGCCCCGGAATCAGTTCGGAAGGCAGTCTGCGGCAGATCGTGTCTGCACTACTTACAGTAAGATACGGCCTGTGACCTGGCAATGGTACGAGGTGCAGTTGAAAGACATTTCCTCATGACCCAACAGTTTCTTGTTGCTCAGCATCTTTCGATCCATTCGACTAATGCAGAAGGCCGGACATGAGTTGATCAGGATCAGTACAGAGCTGAAGAATTTGTCATTCGCGGCAACCTAAATCCCTTCACTGCTGAGTGGGGCTGTGGATTCACGGCTGATGCGCAGGCGTGGGCAAAATCGTGAACTCCGCACAGTGGAGCAGGGAAGACGGTTCTGAGTTGCAGCATCAGGTCAAAGTGCCTCTAGCCGGTCGTTTGTTTCAAGGATTCAGGCAAGAGTTCAAGATAGAGCTCTTCCTGATCGCATTGCGGAGTTGCCCTGTTGGCAACTTCACTTGCACGGAAGATAATTAATTATGTTTCCTTCGCCGGCGCCTGCGTGTCACCTGTGCCAAATAGAAGCATCGGCAGACAAGCTTCGATGTGATCGAAAGCAAGCAAAGCTACAGCAACAGACATCTTCCGAGTTGCAAGGGGGTGGCAATATGCCGGTGCCTCCGATAAACCGATCCATTCTAATTAGCGGTTGCGACAGCTTCATTGTGCACGTTCTCTTGATCAGATTTGATTGCTTTGCATGGTCGGTTGATACTTGCATCAGGCGAGGTGGCGCTCGAGCCCGACTCGCGATTGTACGCAGCAGCAATGGCAGCGCCGGCTCCTGATGTTCGTGGATCTTGGTGTCGGCTTTTGGAGATGGCCTTGGAGTTCAGATCGTCGTTGCTGCCATCTCAGCAGCCATTTTACATAGGCTGACACGTGCCTCGACCTTCGCCATGGCCGCCTTGTCACCCGTTGCTTCACCCGGGCCAGCGGTTCGACCAGTGCGGTCGCCAGAGGTTCCGAGAGCAAGGGCCAGCACAAGTCCGCTCACCAGCTGCAGTAGCTGCAGCTTGGGAGTTCTTCTCGGAGCTGTCGCGGCCTCCGGTGCCTCGGGTCGCTCAAGCAGACCCCAACGGGTGAGAACCGTCCGAGCGGCATCCGTGGTGGCGGAGGTTGGGACGCAGGCAGGGGACAAGCCAGTCGAAGGCAAGAAGTTGAAGGTCATCATTGCTGGCGGTGGGGTTGGTGGCCTTACTTGTGCTCTGGCCATGCTGAAGAAGGGCTGGGATGTTCGAGTCTATGAAAAGACTGGGAAGTTCGCCCGGTTTGGTGGACCGATTCAGTTTGCTAGCAATGCAACTTCCACTTTGAAGGCAATTGACGAGCGCCTCTTTGATCGGGTGATGCAAAAGTTCACCTTCACAGCCACACGCCGATGTGGCATCAAAGATGGTTTGCGTTCCAATGGAGACTTCCGCATGACAGATGTATTGAATCCTTCATACTTCGTAGACAAAGACGTGCCTGCAGATTGGTTCATCTCCTTCCCCCTGAAAGAGTGTGCCGACTTCTTCAACCTGCCCTACACTGGCGTCATCAACAGACCGGACTTGCAGGATATCCTTCTGGATGAGTGCAAGGATGTGAAGGAGGATTTCATTGTCAACGGGGTTTCTGTACAGAGTTATGATACTTGGCCATAGCGCTTAGACTCTGTACCGGTTGCACGGATTGTAGGCCCACCCACAGCAAGACTCACGTTCAGTTGCCGGGTCCTCGCAATGCTTCGGCTAAGGAGAATCACGACAAGGGTGTCACCGTCCACCTGTCTGACGACACAACAGAGGAAGCCGATGTTTTGGTTGGTGCTGACGGAATCTGGTCTGCAGTCCGGGCGGAGATGTACAAAGAAGGTGCCATCAAAGCTCGATCGAAGGACAAATTTGCTGTGAGCATGTTGCAGCTTGCCCGCTTTGCAGCAGGGGGTAAGCACGCTGAACGCGGTCCGCTGTCCAGGACGGCAACTCGATCCAAGGCTGCCGATATTCCGGATACACGGTCTTTGCTGGCGAGACAGTGCTGGAGGCTCTCGCATCAGACTGCGGGCTTGCTGTGTGCTCGCCCCTCTACGTCCGTTTGCTTCCTGTAAGGTGCCCGACTACTACGAATGTGGCTACAAGGTCTACATAGGCCCACAGAGGCCTGGAAGGATGCAGCAGCTTCGTCATGCGCATGCTTCAGTGTCCTTGGTCAAAGAGCAAGTCTTATCAATTCCGACTCCGTTGACTTGCCTTCTTGTTTGGCTCTTGCAGGAGTGAGTGAGTCTAGGGTATTCGATGTGTCGTTTGCGATATACAGAGGGCCCCACTCTCTGTTAACACTGTCTTCAGAACGATTCCTTGTCTCACAGCTATTCCGCACGCCCACGGGCAAACACAGCAGAGAAAACGCACAAAATCACGCCTCCCAGCACTGGCCAAACAGCACGACTTCGTTGCACCCATGCATGTGTCACTGTGATTGTACCGGCTATGGCAAGACATACTTTGTTCAAGTCAATCTTTTGGACGGGAACTGCTTAGAGGCTTAGAGGGGCTTGCAGTTCTCAGTGGCACCTCAGCTGCTTCGGCTGTCATAGTCGTTTTCCACTGGCAGATACTTCGTGACCTCCGACGTTGGTGAGGGTCGCATCCAGTGGTACGCATTCCTTGCTCTGCCCCCTGGGACTCGAAAGGCTCGGTTGCAGCGTGATTGAGCGTGCTGCAGATGCCGGCAGACCATGTTTATATCTCCTTGCGTTGCGACCACTTCAGACCGAATGCTGTGGAGGCTGGTGACACCTGGGCAGGCGACACCGGGGATGCCAAAGAAGGTGCCGATGTCATTTCTTACCTCAAGTCCTTGCACGAAGGCCGGGACATAGCAAGTTCAGTGATCTATGTCGTTATTGTGTCGGATGTCTGCAACCATTCGTTTCGGCGAGGGATATGTCTTAACATTTTTATTTGCAATAAAGTGCTCGTATCTGCAGACTGCAACTGTCAAGAGCTGCTTTCACCGATATGGAACAGATCTGCTGTTCCAGCGGCCAAAACCTGCTTTCGGATAACCTCCCTCATCCCAGCAGCATTCGCTCGCACCTGCGCAGGGCACTTGGAAAGTACTGTCAGCCACAGCGCTCCCTTTCTCTTTCGCTTTCGCTTTCGAGATGCAGACTGGAGCGTTTCCCCCCATAATCCCATGCTGAAACAAGCGATGCAGAGCCTCAAAGGCTGGAGCGAGGAAGTCTTCTACGTCCTGGACAATACCCCGGCGGAGTCAGTGGAACAGCGACTTGCTTGTACCTTCAAACGCATGTGTGACTTGATGTTTCTTTGTTCATGTTCAAGGTGGAGGCTTGGCATATACAAGTCTGTGCAAAAAAAGGCTTGGCATGGCTTTGCTAAGCCCGGTGCGGGTTGCCAAATCATGTGCTTGATGAACAGCGGACCTTCTGAAAGCTTCTGAAAGCCTGTCAAAAACGGGCAATCGAGGATGGAGCCCGAGGAAATCCGAGGAAGAACATGCGAACCTTGCATGAGTCTCAAGAGTCGACAAGTGCAGCGGTGGGCGAAGTCTTTGTTGGCAACATCTCCCTCGGGTCAGACGAAACATAGCTAGCTTGGAGCTGCATGTATGAACTCGGCCTATGCCAACCACCTTTCTGGAAGGACTTTGGATGCTGCTGTTGAGCGGGACTGGGAGACACTTAGCAGACGGTCGGAAGCAATTGCCTGTGGCACTGCAGCGGCGACGGCACGGAGATGAATCGGAGTTGAGTTTGGAACCGGGTTGGAATGTGTGTAAGCTATTGTTCAAAAGCAGGCACGGACCACAAGTACTGGTAGCATCTTTCAAGATGCAGACGCGCGGCAAGGTCTTTGGCCGTATGACAGCATCTAGCATCGCCCCCGAAGCATAGCAAGCATACCAAGATATACCAAGTGCGTTGGAGGAAAACGGCACAAACAGGCCTCCATCCACGTAAGATAATCTGTGGCAGATTGTGGCAGTATCGGATTGCCAGGCCTCTTGCCAATACGTCACACTAATGCAGCTGCACGTAGTAGACGTAGCCGATGTGAGGCGAGATCTGTACGATCGCTGGCCGGAGTTCTTTCGCTCTTGGGCAGATGGCACCTTCGATCCATGAGATACCCCTTTGCCGTTTTTTCTGTGGCCACGTTCGCCTTCGGCCTGAGGCAATGTGGTGCTGCTGGGTGATGCAGTGCACCCCATGATGCCGAAGCTTGTCACGTATCGGCCGTTGCATGCGGGTACTTATGCTCGATCTTCTGGTTCTTCGTCGCGCCAAGAGCACAGGAATTTGGGCCAGGGTGGTTGCCAAGCGATCGAGGCAGGCTGAAAGCTAGTCGCCACGAACCCATGAAGTCAAGAGACTTAAGCTGTAGCAGCTGCGAAGCGGGCAAGTTTGCAGTTGACTTGGAGTACCTGCGGGGACAGGCTGTGAGCACTGCATGTGCATGCCTGCAGTTCAAGTCAGTGCGAAGCTGCATGGCTAGAGTTGTTGGAGAATTCACGTTCTTCCCCGTGATCAAATTGACAGGATGCGTATGAGCTCGTGCGAATCCTCGACGGGTCGAAGACCTACTCTCAGGATTTTGATCCCAAGGCTGGATCCCTTCCACACGCGACACGTCGGCTTCCTTGTACAGTATCGTTGGCGCAGGTGACGGCAGATGCCCTGCAGCGATTCTATCGCAACCGGATGCCGCGGGTTGCGGGCATCTCTCTGCTGTCAGGGTTGGCATCTGATTTGATCATCAATGCCAGGGTCTGAGCGACCACCAACGAAAGCTTGCGGCATGCCATACTAAGTACACTTCTTGAGGTAGATGGAATTGGTACCATCGCTCCCGCTAACCGTTCCTGATGCAGGCATTCGGCACGCCGTGGTCCCCACACGACGAAGCTATGGTTGCATTCAACCTCACTTGCTCCGTGCCTTTCTAGACCGCCCCGCCAGGGTGGTCGCAGTCTTGAGATCAAGCTTATCATGTTCAATTGCCTTTCTGTCTCCAGCTACTGCACTTGCCTGGCTGCCTGAGTGCATGTGCGATACGGAGCAACTAACTGACCTGGAGCTTCCCAATTTGGAAGCCATGCGACCGTCAACGTGGTGGAACGTGTTTTTTTTGCGCTGTAGCTGTGCTCGCTTGTTCTCGAAGAAGCTGACAGAGCCAAGGACAAGGGCACGGACTGGAGGTCCTACTTGACTTTGGCCTGGAAGCCCTTGTTGCAGTTTGTGTTCTTCCCGCTCCAGTGACTCGATTTCCTAGAAGTAATAGGCTTGACCACTACTTGGGTCAACGATGTGGCTCGCAGAGCAATCTGTGCCTTTAGTCGAAAAAATTCGATGCGTTCGATCTAGCAGATATGAAGTCATGTGTTTGAGAGAGCGGTTTAAACTGTACAAAGTAGACGCGCAAAGTGACACGCTATCGGATCCATCGCTGGCGCTGGCTACGCTCATTGGCACAGGGAGCGATGAGCAGACGGTGACGTAGTTTCCAGCTGTCAAGAGACAGAGAAATGCGCAAAGAGTGAGAACTCAGAAGCAGAACGATGCACTCCCAAAAGGAAACTCAGTATGTACGTGTCCAGAAATATCGACACTGAGGGCCGCGCAGGGCCAAACAAATTCGTTTTCTGCAGACAGCCTGGACCTTTGTCCTCGGCCTCCTCGGTCTCCTCCGGCCGGGCTCCTGGAGAGGGCCACGCGTGATACAAAGTCGCCCCAGTGGCCTCGTTTCTCGTTTGGCGAACTGGTCGATCGAACAGAGCAGTGTTGCTGTCGCACTCGTCGTCGCCATTTTGGCGAGTCGCGGGCGGACGCGCGCGGACGCGAAAGAGTCTCGGCAAGGCGATCCGTGCTGGGGCAATGACCAGAACGGACTCCGATCTCACCTGTGTGCTCTCGATGCCAGTTTTCTTCAACAGTTTTAGTCCCATCCACTTCGCCGCAAAGCACCGACAAAGACTCCATCTTTCTGACATACATCTCGTCATACAATGCAGGGTTCCGTGACACGACATTGACTTCGTCTTCCGTTAGTGAGGGAGACGGTGAGCAGCATCGGGGTAACGATCTCCGACACTCAGGTTTCTCTTCCTCTACTCCAACCACCCGTCTGGGGGAATGGGAGACTTGCCGCAGCGCTTGGTGGACGAGTGGGAAAAACGTCACAGAGAAAAAGCGGAGGCTTTGGGAGCTGAAATGTTGCACATTGCAGCGATAGTCATCTTGCATCAGTCGCAGGCCGCCTTTGCAGCCAAAAGGAGCGGGAAAGCATCCAGCAGCGGACCATCATTCTTTGCCAAGGTGAACCAGGTAGAGGAGGAAAAGGCAGCGCAGCGTCGCGTCATCGCGTCTAGATGTGCTTAAGCTTGCCGATTCTGAACTCAAGTGTAGTGTCTGCTGCATTTTGGGTCGAAACTTGCTTGCTTGTCCGCTGAACCTGTTCAGGTGCCAGTATATGACGCATGATGTGAAACAGACAGCGGCTCGCAAAGCTTGGGAGTAATCTGTCGGGCGTGTCTGTGCAAAGGCAGGCTGCACCCCAGCAAAATGTTCGGGTTCACATGCACGTTCGTCTGCCGCATGGCAATGTGCATGAAAGAGAACCGTGGCCCCGAAGAAGCGGGGGCGTCAGTTCTTGTAGGGGTTCCCATCAGTACATGCACAGATGGTGAACGTACCATCTCAGTGCAGCTTAACCCAAAAGCGGCATGATATGCGTTGCAATGGCCTGGCCGACAACGAGACGCAGTGGTACCAGACCGAGGATGTACTACTCACATTGTGGATTGCCTGGCTTCGTCGTCGGCAGGATCAGAATGACTTCCCAGTCATCAGGTTTTTAAGACGAGTCGGCAGGCCCATTTGACGATTAAAAGGCCGGCTGCATTTTGGGCACTTCATTGGCCATGTTGTTGAACTCCTTGTGATAGAGTGAGTGTCAATGTGAATTCTTCAGTCTCGACCTGCTCGCCAACAGCATAAAGTTTTGCTGCCATTGTTCCATGTTCTTATTCCACGATTGTAAGTCAAGGTGCCGCTGGGAAGCGCGACAGAGATCGGCAGCAGCTGCAGATGCCATTCTGCTGTGACTAGGTTCAACTGGTCCAGAGCGAACTCTGCTAGCTTTGTCTCGTTGCACTTCAGAACCTTGAGGTATGATGAGTTTATGTCTCTGCCCAATGCTGCAGCAGGCGGAGTGTGTGCTATCACTGTGTGTTTTAAGCTTGAATTCCCTTCGGAAGTGTTGCCGCCATTCTGGCACATATATCGGCTTTTCATGAGCGGCTCTGATTTACAGAACCTGGATATCGTTCCGTCAGGACCTCAGCTGATCCGTGAGGCGGCTCAAGCCTGCGAGGCCGACACGTTCCACCTTGCCCTTGGATGCCTTGGCTGCTTCAACATATGAATTGGAGGGGACGGCCAGGGCGGCCAGGTTTGCTGCTGTAGCCTCGATGTCTTTGGTAATTACGGCAAGGGAAGTCCCCTTTGCTTGAGCAAGCTGTGCTTAAGTGAGCATTTTCCAAGCAAGAAACTCCCACCAAAGTTCCTGGAACGCTTGCCTCGGAAAACAGCCTTCCACCGCGGGGACTCTCACGTGACATACCTGCCTTCTGCCTTTTCGAATTCGGGGCTGTTCTGGCTCTGTTTTGGCCTGGATAAGATGCTGTTTTGGGGGACAGCAGGATGGGCGGGCCGATTATTGTTCGGCATTGCTGCAAGCAGCAACTTCACCAGACTCCGGTGGCATGATGCCAGTGAAAACTGTTCTCTCGAAGATGTTCATGCAGTCGGTTTGTTTTGCAAACTCTGAGAGAATCCACAGAACGACTGCCCGACCCAGCGCGGAGCTGACGTTTGCCGAAATGGACGCGAGAAGCTTCGAATGGGCTTTGTGGCTTTCGGCACAGGAAATTTCGCGGCAGTTTGGTGGAAGTTTCCCGTTCTCCATGTTAACTTGGTCGGCAACTTTCACGCGCGGAGACGAAACTACGCAACTTTTCTGGCTTCTTTCGTCCATTGGAAGGCCGCTGTGGACATGAAGCCTGGCTCGTCGCTCCAGCCCGTTTCGTCGCCCTATGCAGTGCTATCAAAGGGTTGAGAGGGAACCCGTGGAGCACAGTTTTGGACCAATGATCATGTGCATTGAATGTTGTGTAGCATGCAAGTATGTGTGGTGACATGCAGAAGCGACAGCACGTCGCAACGTTGTCAGCGCGACGTAGCTTAAGTTTTTTCACTCTGTATCCATGGGCCCCGTCAGCCTGTTTCCTCGACAAACGGTGTAATGCTGCGTATACAGTGCTATATCCCAACAGCGACAATCAAGCGTCGGGGCACGGTTATGGATCGAAGTCCGGTTGAATGAAGGGCAGCTTTCGCGGCATCGATGTCGTTATTAATTCCCCTTCAGCTTTTTCGCGGACTCTGTGTTTACAACATGAGCGTTTGCAACACAAGCACACCCGTCTAATGAAAATCCACAACAACACTATCTGCTAGGACGGAGGATTGTGGACTCGGGCATTGTCGCTGCTGGAGATTGCGTGTCGCGCCAAGAGCTAGCAGCTAGAGCATGATCATGATCCTGGTCCGGTGCCTGCGCCAGTCCTGTGGAGCCTCCATGAGAAAGATCAAGACCTGTCAGTCAGCATTTGCGGCCCGAGCACGTGCGCGGCGAATCTGCGCACATGGCATCGGTGTGCGATGTTTGCGTCGCAACGCCCCGACCAGGCCGCTCCCGAGGCTTGAGAACCGTGAGTCTGCGGTGACAAGTTTTCCCTCCTCTCGGTGCGATTCTTGTGCTTCTTCCCGTTGGTATCAATCCCATCCATGGTGCATGAAGGTGAGGCGCGTGAAACGTCTGAAACACTTTATGGAGCCTTTGACAGGTGCTCTTCCTTCTTGATGGAAGTGGGCTGAGCCACAAGACCGGTGGCACGGAGGGAGGGCACTGTGGCGACGACATGGCTTGGAGCCTCAGCTTTCTAGTTTTGCTTGTTTAATGTTTCACACCGTGGTAAGGGCCCAAGGCTTGGCAGGCATTGATGCTCCTTGGGCTGGAAAGTTGCAGGAGCCAAATAATGAATGAGTCTATGAGTCGTGGGTGTAGAGTAGAGGGCCATGACCCGATTTCGAATTTCGTGATGCTTCTTCGGGCCGTGTCGCATCAGTGTCGCACGAAGCTTTGCGGAGAATCCCATTCTAATCTCAACTATTTGCAGCATCCGTTTCAAGGGGGCTTTCTGTAAAGTCTCCATTTTGTAGGACGTGCGACAAGTTAGGACAGCAATGCACTGGCGAAGCAGCGGGCAGGTCCAACAGCCCTCATAAGCGAACTCTACATAAGCTCAATGCAGTGCACGAGGAGAGCATGTTTCAAGCGTGACCGGCGAACTTAGGAAGCGGTGTAGGGCTCAAGCTCCTCAGCAAAAGTGCCTCTGGCACCCACCAGTCAGGACGACCCCGATTCATCATCTGGACATGCCCGCCAGCGACTTACCCGGCAGAACCGGTGCATGTCTCAACGACACTGGGTAGCTGAAACCAACGCGGTGGGGTGCCTTCGAGGAGAAGCTCATCTCGTGCTGCCGCCAAGTCCGTGAGCTCGTCCCAGCAACGCCGGCTGTACGATCGGACGGGCATGACTTCTTCGTTCAGGCAGTTGATTTGGAAAGTGATGTGTGAGTGTGTGAATATTTATCTCAAGGCAGCTCGCGTAGCAGCGTTTTAGTTTAGTCTGGCTTTTAGCGGGGAAGCCTTTCGGCTCACACGAATTGCCTGGTTTGTCGGGGGGCAGGGGCTAAACTGACACGTTCATAGCCGACTTCTGTAGCAAAATCAATAAAGCTGAGCCGCTATAGAACTCATCCGCGGCTGCCTCCTACTACTACAACCAACAACTACTCCTGCTGCTACTACCGATACCGCTCCCGCTACCGCCACCGCCACCGGTACTGCTACTGCTACTTCTTCTCGTAGTAGCACTAGTACCAGTACTAGCACTAGTACTAGTATCGGCACCGGCACCGGCACCCGCACCCGCACCCGCAGCAGCACCAGCACCAGTAACAGTTCCAGTACCAGTGGAGCAGTAGTAGTAGCAGTAGCAGTAGCAGTGGCAGTAGTACTAGTAGCAGCAGTAGCAGTAGCAGTAGCAGTAGCAGTAGCAGTAGCAGTAGCAGTAGCAGTAGCAGTAGCAGTAGCAGTAGCAGTAGCAGTAGCAGTAGGAGTAGAGTAGGAGTAGGAGTAGGAGTAGTAGTAGTAGTAGTAGTAGTAGTAGTAGTAGTAGTAGTAGTAGTAGTAGTCGTAGTAGTAGCAGTAGAGTAGTAGTAGTAGTAGTAGTAGTAGTAGTAATAGTAGTAGTAGTAGTAGTAGTAGTAGTAGTAGTAGTAGTAGTAGGCACACCGACACTGGGCACTAACCAAGGCGTAGTGCTCGTGCGCAGGGTCAGTGGTCCCTGGGGCTCCAAGCCCATACGCCCTGCAAGCAAGCAAGCAAGCAAGACGCGTATTTGCTGTAATGTATGTGAACTTGTGTCGTGCACGCAGTCCGAATCGAGGCAAGCCGTGTTCGAGTTTTCGTGGACATTCACGGTGCACCGGGCCGAATTAGACAACTTTGCGGTCCATGACGTGTCTGACCAGAAAATATGTGAGAGTGCATGGGCGGCCAAAGCAGCACCGAATGTGTGGTTCATCAGGATTCTGCCGCCTGCAAGCCAGTTCCAACGACGATGCGTCGCTGCCTCCTTCCTGGGCTCATTGTTTCAACTGCAGACAGCACTTGGCATGTTTTGGATCTTTTTGGATTCTGCAAAATACACCTCCAGCGAGCTGGTGCAAGTTGTCAGGTGCGGCACATGCGAGGTTGACCGACTCGGGCTAGGGCTTGCCATGCTGTCGGGACAGTCCAACTCAATGTACGTTTCTCCACCCAACCTGCGCATGTTGCAGGTCCACTCAGGTCCTTCAACTAGTCCCAAGTTTTGTCTGGAATGAATTCGTGGCTTGGTTCTGACATGTTCTGACCATCACACTGGCATGAAGTTTTCTGCAGTAATACGCAAAATATGCAGGGGCATGGCATCATCATCACCATCATCATCATCATCATTCTAGTCAAGTGCCAGGTTTAAATAAAGTTGCGTCGTCTCTGAATGCCGGTATGTCCGGTGGCTCGACTGGCTCTGAGACAGGCCTGCTGCAGATTGGCACATGGGACACCAAGCGCGAATGCATTGCACTCCATGGACACTCTAGGTACAGTGCGTGCCACCCGGCTGTCGGGTTGCAGACTTTCTGTTGGAATTTGGCCGCAAGCGTGCTGGCAACGGCGGGGATGTGAATCTCAAGCTGCACAGTGAGCATCAGCGAGCCAGCTTTGAGAAGCTGCATTCAGTCAATGTGAGCCAGCTGCATGTGTGACAAAGGAGTGTCGTGTCCAATGCTGCGGATGTGGTGGAGAGCTGCCAGACTTCGGAGCCAAAGTTGCGTTCTTTGGCTTATAGAAAAACCTCAGAGATTTGGGTCTTTGTGACTGTAACCATCGCCACCGGCCATGTCGACATGCACCTGCCATTTCTGAAGGCCCCGCGTGCAGTCCTTGTACTCGTATGGTTGAGAGGCGATCAGAAGCCTTAGATTTTCGACCGTCAGGGCTCTTCGCAATCCGAGGACAGCTGCATTTCATGATTGTCGATGGTGACCTGGTGATGCCCGGCCTTCGGAGTCAGCGGAGCCTACGATGTGAGCAGGAGAGAGGGCGTCGAGTCGAGTGTAGGTCTGGTTCTGGTGATGCTTCTCGGATTTTCTCATACGGCCCACTGCAACAGTCGCCGCTAGCAGCTAACCCAAAGCATACGTTTTCGGTGTGGTTGTGGATGCGGATGGGCCAGCCCGTTGCGCTCTGATGCTTTCCCTTCTTGTAGAGCATCTTGTGGCTGGCTAGCGCCTCGTGTTACTGAGTGGTCAAGCTATGATGAGACCTTGGCATGGAAGAGCAAATCCTAAGAAATGCAAGCATAGATCAGATGTAGCGAGCCTTCGATGCGGCCCCAACACATCACTTCTCCATAGTCGTCCCCGTCGGTTCCACCGCAGACATGTGGCGCATACTTTTGCACCAGGAGTGGCGACGATGTGTTCATGAGCCCGCAGACCGAAAAGGCCGAATGGTAGGGCAAGTGGCTCACGTTTTGCATTGGCAGCGAGCTTCTTCCCTCAAGAAATCTCCAAAAGTTGTGTTTGCAGTTGCTGAGAGTGCCATGCGCTGCCACGTTTTCAGGACGCAAGCGCAGCCGCTCACCACGCCGAGTAGACATGGGAGGATACTTGATGAGGTTTCAGATACTTGAAGCGAAAGAGTCAGTTTCGGGGTTTTGAGCTGAGGTCCCGGTCAGGCTGGAGACGTTGAAGCCAGTGATACTCTGCGCGATTCCCAGCTCGATGGCGAGCTTTTGGAGGCAGTCTGAGGGAACTCTGACCAACTGCTGACCACGATTGTTTTCGGGCTTCGGCTTTGCAAGGTTTGCTTCTGGGGGATTCCACGGTTCAATAATAATTGTGGCAGAGTGCGCCGCACTGGATGTGATGCTTGGCTCCTGGTCTCGCCTTTTGCGTCGTTTGCGGTGAAAGTTGCTCTGAAGCGATGGTGTGACGTTTGCAGCTTCTGTCGCAGTTTGAGAGTTCTATTTGCTTTGCTCGGCGAACTGGTCCTTGTCACGAAAGCCACATGAAGTATCGGGCCTGAGCTGCTCCGATTGAGGGGGCCACGAGTTAAGTAGAAGCAGAACCGCTAAGGGTTAACCGGCCAGCCATCCACACCCTTGATATTCTGCGGAAGTGGCGACCACCGCAGCAGGGGCAGCAAATCAAAGCATAACTCATTGCGATGACATGCGTACTTGGAATTTGCAAGAAGTGTCTCTCCGGCGCAGTGGTCTTCTCTGGTCGATCCATCTGATGCTTGGCATTCTTCCTCCTGATCCAGCCTGTGTGGGAAGTCCCGGAACCGTTGCGTTTGCTCAGCCGTCGCATGTGGGACATTGCCCTGTGCATGAGGATCCGAGCTTCCTCCACGATCGGGATGGCCCGCACGCCGCACGCAATCGGTATGTACATGTTGAGCTTCATAGTGATACTTGCAGGGGCTAAAGGGAATGCAGGAGCTTGTCTTTTCGGCTGAGGCTCGCTGGGGGCCACAAAACCTAAGGCCTGCTGCGCGCGCGTGACACGGGTGGCATAGGTTTTGCGTGGCGTCGTCGTGACTCGTTGAGAGCTTCAAAAGACCTTTTTAAGGCTTCTCGCCCGCTTGATCTCCTAAATTGTTTACGGATGGTTTGGTAGCTTTCTGTTAGTTTTTTGAGCAAGCTACGAACAAGGTTGTGGGTGGCTGTTTGTGCGAACAGGGAAACGAAGACCGGGAGAGGGCACCTCATGTGTTCGCCGCAATCACCAAACGCCGAGGGGCTTTGTCCCGTTTCTCGCCTTTGGCACCTTCATGTCGCGGTGGTAGTAGCCGAACCATATGATGATGCCCTATGCTTGAGGAAGGAACATCATAGAGACCATCATAGAGACGGGTGATGTGGCAAGGGGATTGAAACGATGAAGAGAGGGATAGAAAGGTAATGTTCGCGCCCCTCGCACCCCACCAAGAGGAAATTGACTTCTGTTGGTTGGCTGTGGAGCATGAATGCATGAACTTGGCCAAGCAGGAGCCATTGGGGGCGCTCGGAGACACGCAGATCGACGGTTTCCAGGACACCGTCGCCACCCAGCGATGCGTTACGTTTGTTATCGCCTGAGTAGCTTCGGTCGTGCATGACTTGCTGTGTTGCTTGTACAGGGTATAGCCGGTATAGCCAAGCCAAGCATACGAACGTATCGTATGTGTTTGGACCAGCCATGGCCAGCCAGTCGTACGGCCTGACCGCTCCAGAGACGAAGCTTTGCATTACCTGGTGAGTTCGTATTACTGGGTTAAGATCCAGGCCCTGAGTATTTTATGGACAGTGTGACAGTTCTTGCTGACGTCCAGCAGAATCATCAGGAGTAGGCTATGAACAACGGTTTTAGACGCGCAGAGCTATGCAACAAGTTAGAATCAGAGATGGAGGTCAGTGAACTACTTTGACTGCCTGCTTACTCATGACTTTCCCACAAAATTAAGTGCAGTGCTTGAGTTGCACTCGTCTGGTTCCAGATTTGGGTTGGACCTAGTTTAAGTTGTTTATTCGATGCAGGACCTCGAGGATGCACGACCGTCTGCTTTTCCCATCGGAGGCCGAAGCGACTAGACAGCATGTTGAAGTCGAAGCCACAAGATTTGAGGCTTGGTGCCGAAGCTGACCATGCCTCGTTGCTTGGACTTGCCTATTTTCAGCACGGCGTGTGCATCATGAGTTCACGGGCATCTGTCCATCAAGAAGTAGGAGCGAAGAGGATTCGGAAATAGGCGATCAAGATTGGGAACCCGATTCGACTCAATGCTAGCATCTGCGGCTGTGTGCGAGAAAAGCACTTGCTTTGATTGATTTACTGGCCCTGTTCCGAGTTGACATGGCTGTCTGCTACGCGGATACCCAGGCACAAAGTGAATGTGTGAAGTCCATGTTCCATGTGTTTCTTGTTCTGTACAGACAGCCTGTACTGAAGTTAAATCCTGTGCGTACGTCGAGTAATTGTCAACGCTTCGCTTCGTCCGCAGCGGCCCCGCCGCAAGTGCAGATGGCCGACGAATTGCTCGGCTTTTGTTTCTTCAACCACGAAGCCGTCACTTGAAAGAGGCCGTTAACCGACGGAAGGGGGCGAGGGCGCAGCGGGAGGGGGGAGAGCGCAGACTCCTGGCTCAGCTGGTTACAAGGAGCCGAAATCCAAAGAAGGACACAAGGGTGTAGAGGAAGGGGGGGTGGAGGGGTGGGTCATTGGAGGGGATTCAGAGGGGGGGAAACATGGGGTCCTTGTGGGAAACTCTGACCGCTCCGGCCGGGCCCGCTGCTTTGGTCGAATCATGGCCGGAGGTTGTCGAGGACTTGTCGCAGGAGCTGGTGGAGAAGCCAAAGGCGGCTTCTGCTGACGCATCGCCACACTCTGCCGCTGGTGGCTCAGGAAAGTAAAACACGGCCGCGTGATAGAACGCGTTTCCATCTCCACACTGCCTTCAGGCACGGACTCCGCCCTGCGAGCTCTCGGCGGTACCTGGCATGGCTTCAGCGCAGGATGTTAGAGTAGATCCTTCAAGTCGGTTGCTTCGCTAAGCTCGACATGCAGTGCAACATGCAGGCGTTCTGGTGGGGTTTCACAAGAGGGCCCATTTTTTGAAGGATTTGTTTGTTTCATTATGTTTTTCTGTGTCCTGGTGATGTTCTATGCTTTCTACGCTTTTCTACTGTTTTCCCGTTCTATCTGCTGCTTTTGCTTGCTTGTAGTTTTCTGCTTGTCTGTGCTTTTGCTTTTCAGCTTTTCTGTTCCTCCGCTTATCTGCTTTTCCGCTGCTCTTTCTGCCTTCTGCCTGTGTTTGCCTCTCGTTTTCTGCTTGTTGTTGCTGCTGCTTTTGCTTTTCTGCTTTCCGGCTGCTGCTCTGCTCTTACTCTTCGCTGTTATGCTCCTCCTTTTTCTGCTTGCCGGCTTCACTTTTATTTTTCTCACCCTCATCCTTCAGGTCTCGTCCTGCTCCGCTTTTCCCCTGTCCGCCCTTCTGGTTCTTTCTACTCCGAAACACAATGAGTTTTGAGGCGCACGGTAACAACGACCTACTTCTACGACTATGATTAATTTTGCCAGTGTTATTACTACTACTACACCTTCTACACCTACTGCAGCTACTCTACCTATTAACTACTTGCTACTTACTACTTATACCACCACCACCACCACCACCACCACCACCACCACTACTACTCCTACACAGAGCCCATATGGACCATTTCAGAACCCGTGATACAGACATGTTTGCAAATCCAGGGCCCCACCCAATTGCTTCTTTTTGGGCCAACCTCTGCCTCAAGGGCCCGGGCTGAATCGGGGACGTGTTTAAGATATATGGTGAGCCGGAATTGCCGAATGCGGGGGCATGTTTAAGATATATGCCAAATGAGGCGGCCAGAAAAAGATATATGATGAACCGGAGTCGCCAAAAGAGGGCGCGTGCGTAAGATTTTTGACGAACCGGGAATCGCCAAATGAGGGGGCGCGTACATACATGTATATATATATATATATGTATATATATATATATATGTGTATACATATTTTTTCTTTTGTTTATATGTATTTATCACGAACCGGATTTGCCAAAGAAGTGGGCGTGTTGAAGACATATATATATATATATATATATATGCTCACCCCCCCCCCCCCATGACAGACCGTCGTGGGGAAGGGGAAGGGTGGCGTGCGTCCCCAGGCAGGATCTGTCAACGGATAGGCGACAGACACTTCTCCCAAACTCAATTCCAAAATGTTCTTTTAGATGGTTTGCAATTTTTGGAAATTTCTTCACACGCATGCAGCGCTCCTAGTCCCAATCTTAATCTCAATTCTGCTCTTCGTACCACTATTACTGTTTGTAGATCTGAATTCTTGTATCAGTGTTAGGATTAGTATTAGTTTTGTGGTAGTATTGATATTGGGATGTTTAGTATGAGTAATAGTATTCGAATTAGTATTACTCTTAGTATTAGCATTAAGTATGTGTATTGATGTTAATAGTAGTAGTCGTCGTACTAGCAATAGTTGTCGCACAGCAGTAGTAGTGGTAGCATTAGTATTGGTATTTGTATTAGTATTAGAATGAGTATTAGTATTAGTATTAGTGACTAGTATGAGTATCAGTATTAGTTTTAGTATTAAGTATGTGTAGTAGTAGTAGTAGTAGTAGTAGTAGTCGTAGTAGTAGCAGTAGTAGTAGCAGCAGTAGTGGTGACATTAGTATTGGTATGAGTATGAGTATTAGAATTAGTAGCTAGTATTAGTACTAGTATTAGTGTTAGGATTAATATGTATTGTTCTTGGTTCTATTCTTAGTACTGCTGTCATTGTTTGTAGTAGTCCTAATCCTGGTATCAGTGTTCATATGAGTAATAGTTTTGTGGTAGTATTGATATTAGGATGGGTATTGCTTTAGTACTAGTATTGGTATTGGTATTTAGTATTAGTATTAGCATCAGTATTAGTATTAGTATTGAATAAAAGTATACATATCAATAATAGTAAATATGAACTCGTGATTATGTTCGTGCTGGTGTTAGTGCCAGTGTCGATGTCAATGTCAGTAATAGTACTCGTGTTAGTATTAGTATCAGTCTGAATGCTGGTTTTAGTATCTGTTTATTATTCACAGAAGTGCTGGTATTAGTATCAGTAATAGAAATAGTTTTGATATGTGAATATACTGATTGATTCGTACATTTTGAGCTTAATATAATAATACAGTAATGTATTCGAACAATAGTATATTTGCAGAGTTGAGGATTGCGCGAATATATAAGTACGTTGGTGCATGAGTACATTAGTATATTGGTGTATCATGATATTCGTATGTTAACGTAGTAGTATATTAGTATATTATTATAGTGGTCTACTACTACATTTACTATATTCGTATTTTCCCTAATAGCTTATAGGTATATCAATATGTTGGCATAATGTTGGAAACTGGGTATATGACAAATTAAATACGAATATACTACGTTAGTACACGAATGCATTGATATATTTGCTTTTCAGATAGTGGTATGTATATCTGCGGACATTAGTATACGCAGGTGTCTGTTAGTATTGGCATTAATATCAATATGAATATGACTATTGGTAGGCGTAGGAGTATTAATGTTAATAATAGAATTAGTAATGTGCATATTCGTAATAAAAGCATTAATATAAATGTCAACGTTAGTGTTAAAAGCACTACACAGTAATCTTACTTGAGTCATATATAGAGCAGATTCCAACATTTCCAAAATTTCCAAAATTTCTAAAATTTCCAAAATTTCCAAAAAGTCCGCCCTTATGTTTTGGAAAAATCCTGTCGACTAGGTCGGGAAATTTTGGAAATTTTGGAAATTTTGGAAATTTTGGAAATTTTGGAAATTTTGGAAATTTTGGAAATTTTGGAAATTTTGGAAATTTTGGAAATTTTAGAAATTTTGGAAATTTTGGAAATTTTGGAAATTTTGGAAATCTGGAAAGTTAGGGGAGAATTTTGAATTTTGGAAATTTTGGAAATGCTGGAATCTGCTCTATATATGACTCAAGTAAGATTACTGTGTAGTGCTTACTATGTAGTGTGTCAGCACAACCCTCATCCATACACGTGTGCTCTGTAATTCCTTTCTTGGTAGGACACCCGCGCGCCTTATCGTGCTGCTTTCTGGTCTCAGTCTTTTGGTGGTTCCAGGGATACGTTCGGAGGGCTCAAACTCGATACTCCGGAAAAAGCACGAACACGCCGGTGGGAGCGATGTTTTAAAGGGGATGGTCTGTCATGGGGGGGGGGTGACCATATATATATATATATATATATATATATATATATATATGGTCATGCGCTCCGCAGCCCCCTCCCCCCCTCCCCCCCAAAGGTCAATGGTCCGGATATAGGGTGGGCCCCCCGCTCCCCTGTGGTGTGGGGTGTGGGGTTCCTCTTCCCCCGGTGGGGTGGTTGTGGGGTTTGGGGTTTAGCTTAAGCTTTTGAGTGTTGGGTTTACGGCTACAAGGTATAAGGATTCGAGTCGACAAGGGCTTAGGGAGGATTTGCGGTGTATGCTCCGCTTTAGGCTTAGAGCCTGCAGTTAGGTGGGGTTTAGGGTTGGGCAGGGGTTGGGTGTAGTTTTAAGTACAAGTTAAGGCTGCTCAAAACAAGGGCGCGCGCTGCGTTATAGGGTTTACGGCTTGCTTGCGAAGGGCTTGCGCGTGAGCCCTGGCCGCCAGCACCACCCCGCCATCCAGTGGCAGCTCCGCACACGCCAGCCCCCCCCCCCCCGTGGCCGGCTTAAATAGGGTTTATTTGGAAGCTGTCACTCGGGTTTTGGAGTAGTCACAGGCTCTCCAAGGAAGCCCCAGCCCCGGCTCCAGTCCTGGCCCCAGGCTCGGCCCCAGTCCCGACACCAGTCTCACAGGGAGGGGCGCAAATTCGTGGATGACTTTGTAATCTTCACTACAACCTGCGTATAATACATGGATAGGCAACTCGCTTCCAGACGACCCATGTATCCGACTTGGCCGGTGAGAGAGCACTATTCCATGCATCATGTCGGCTCACACGAAAAAAAACCACCCGGAATACGAAACCTACAGAGGGGCGGCCCAGACAAGCGTACAAAAGTGTGGCAGGCGCAGCCAAAGAGTGTGCTTCGACCTTTCCCAGCGATCATGTGGCAGGAGAAAAACCAAACACGAATTCGTGTCCAGTTGTTTTGGACGTCCTAGGGGACCATCAGTGCTATCATCATCGATATCAACATCGTTATCACCATCGCAGTCACTATCGATAGCGCCATCATTTTGACCATTCTCGTCATCATCGTTATCATCAGCGTCAGCAATCTGCTGAGCAGTCGACTTTTTGTGCGCAAGGAAAAGCCGGCCTGAATTTATTCTGTGGACCTGGGCGGCTAAGCTAGTATTGCAGCAGAATGCGAGAACACTAGTGGGGCCGATGACTTTCAAGGTCGCGGCCAGTTTGGCGAGGTTTGTGAATGGAAAGTGCAAAAGGTCTCGGCACAGTCACCTTTACCAGATTGCCATGTCGTCATCATTGCTATTGTGAGTACTATCATCATCGTCATCATCATCGTTATCATCATCGCCATCTCCCAGTGAAAGATATCACATCGGAAGAAGCCAGTCGCGGATGTTTTCGTAGCCTTTCATGCAGAAGTCCGCGGTGCACGACTACACCTCCTTGGACCGGCGACCGGGGCGAATCACCGGACTGAGGTTCCTCAGTCGAAACGGTGTTCGCCGGGTTGGCTTGCTTCGCGGCAAGCGCGGAGCCTTCGGCTTGCTGCTGGAAGCACGAGCCTCGGGCAAGGAAGCAGTCGCTTTGTCTCGAAGTGCGACACGGACACGTCGTCCTTGCTTCAAAACATGCAGAGCAGCTCTTGCCGGCGTGGCACCGGGAGCCTTAAGCTGCCGACACCACGTCCGCCAGGCAGCTTGCGGTAGCATGAAACGAACATTAGCTTTCATTGCCCGTGATGCTATCTCGGACTGATCTGCTTGCCTCTGGAGAGGCCTGTACAAGGCCTGATTGTGCGTGAACAGTTTCACAAAGTGAAACAAATTCAGCTTCATCCCGAAAGTGGATTTGTGCAAAGCCGCCTCGGGGTGATTAGCAGACACAGGAAGCATGCCCTGCGTCGGAAAGGCACATGTTCGTTGCAGCCGAGCAGCAGTCTCTCGGAACCAATGATTGATCTCGTGATGGAGACTTTCATTGGATGTGGTGCCGCTTGGTAGGAGCGTTAGTTCACCTGGATGTACGGCATGTCGGTGGCGAGTATCGTTGAACAACCACTGGACCTTGACTGCGGACGCCACGTTGATGATGAGGCGATGCAGCGAAGCACCAGAGTAAGTAGTTTTACTGACCTCGTCAGCGAACAGCGACAGATGGGCCACGCATGCTTCGAGGAAGTCAATCTCCGTCAGCCACGGCGTGTCTGGATTCAACTTCTCCAGCAAGTTGTGCGCCTGAGCGTGTGACATGTCCGGTTTCTCCAGTCGGAGTCGCATGCAGCGAACGTCCACACTGGCAGGTGGCAGCGACTGCCCAGTGTAGAACGGTCCCCAGGCTGCTGCTGTGCGGGCCGCATCTCGCTTGCGGAACTTGTCCATGATGACGGCGAGCCACCGACTGCCATGAGTTTTCTTGTTACTCATGTTCTGCTGGTACACCATGATAATATGCATGGCGTCCAGGGCAATGCTCTCCAGATGGGGCAACACTTGTCTGAGGACGCGGAACATCTCCGGTGACGGATTATCAGAAGCCACATGCTGCACCTGGGTCCTCTGCTGAAGAGAAAGCTCGTTTGCCAAGGCATCGGCGATGACACTAGCCTTCTCGGAGCGAACCATGGCAACCAAAAGAGCGGCGCCAGTTCGACCTCGGCAGGTCAAGGTGCGATACGCAGCCTCGGCTTCTGGAATGGCAGCATCATCCCGCAGTGATTGCGAGGAGTGGAAATTTGCCTGGCCGATGATTTTGAGATTCACCTTGAAGGTCGCATCAATGCTGAGGTAGCGAAACTCATTATGGTCACGACACTCTTGAAGCAGGGCATCACGGTACTTCAGGACAGGCGGGGCATTCATCAAGTCCTCGAATACGTTGATCCAGAATGAATTCGTTGACCGCGGAAGCAAAGAGGAGAGTTCACCATCGTGGCGCTTGCAGCACCGCAGAAAGGAGCAACAGATTTTATGCAGCGAGCCGTTCGCTGCTGCTGCGGCTTCCAAAAATGCACACGCAAAGGCATGCGTGTAGTAAAGGTTGCCGACGCGTCTCAAGTCATGCCTCTTTTTGATGGTATGCAAGGCCATGATGATGGGACCGTCCTTGTCAAACACGTACCTCACGAAGCTGTCGATCTCGACGACCTTCGTGGGCACGGGAGGTTTGACATCCAAGCGCATGACAGCTGCGGCTCTGCTAAGAAAGTACGGCTGCATCTCCTTCCCCTTGATCGCGTCCTGGTCATACATCGACACGGCAATTCTCAGTTGCTTGGTGCCGGAGGGGCAGTAGCGCTTGGCTGTCGTGTGTTGGGAGGTGAGATGCTGCCGCAGGTGTGCGCGCTTGCTAAAACGGCGCCACGGGCAGCACGGACATGTGGTTGTGGAGAAGGTCGTGCTGGCCTGGCAGTTGACATTGTCCAGAGCTTCCTCAATCTCGCGCTTCATGAAATTCAGCAGCTCGCCACCGACATCGACTTCCCCTTCGTTCCGAGGGCCCTGTCCTTGCACCGCGTCTGCTTGTGCCGCAGGTCGCTTCTTGGACGTCCCCCCAGAAGACGACCCTGCAAGCAGGTCGAGAAAGCCGGACGTGCCATCATCTAGTTCTGGCGACTTTGAGACTGCGTCGAAGCAAAAAGTCTCCTTCAGCCCGTGGAAGGCTTCCAGTAGGTCCATCAGATCGAACATGGAGCCTTCGAAGACGCGGCCACCGCGCATAAGCCCGATCATGTTATTAGGGAGCATCTTGACACCCATGCAGATGGAGGACTCCGGAAGTTCGAGATGAAGAAGGAAGTCGGAGGCAGCCTCAGTCGTGAAAGCGGATCGCGGCACCAGGTGGAGGTCGCCGCAGCCATTCCAGTCGGAGTACTGCCGAAGGTGACGAGTCTCGGCTTTGGTGTTGGCCGGAGACTCCTCCCGCAGACGCAGAATGATTTGCTTCACGTCCGCACCCAAGAAAACCATTGCGGCAGGAATAGAATTGGAAACAGCCGTCAAGGTTTCTTCATACATGCGCAATTGGGAGCTGACCTGACTTGGCTTCAATCTGCTGTCCAGCAGCGTATCCAAAGATGGAACGGTCTTGTCCTTCAGCACAACCTTGAAGTTCGTATTCTTTAGCACAGTCTCTTCAAGAAGAAAAACCATGTTTTTGCCGGTAGTTTCTTCCAGTGACTGCACCAAGGATCTTGCCACGAGAATGCCGTCGAAGTGACACGAAACATGTTCTGCGGCCTCGCCTTGCCGAACGAAACAAGTCATCGACTGGAGGATTAGGTCTTCGGCGGCAGTCCACCAGAGGGCGAATATGCTTGCTTCTGGCCACTGAGTCCTGGAACCGCGACGCAACTGCAGGTAGTGACTTTGCAGTTGCGAGCAAGCGAGCCAGCGCAGACGGCGGCTTTCAGTCGAAAGTGCTGTCAAAAATGCCAGGCCTTGCTTTGGGATGTCCTTGAAGTTCGACGGCATCGCTCCATTGGCGACCTCCGTGAGAATCTTCTTGCCGACCGATTCGGTGCACTTCAGCTGATCACTGCAAACACGGCTGCGATTCGTGGCAATGGCACGCCATGAGGGAATTTCCAGGCCTGTCGGCTGTACCATGTCGCATAGTTGGACGACGATGTTGAACATGGCTGAGGCGATGTCGTAGTCAGCTGTCTGAGGGCAGCAGATGGCTCGTGTGAGTCGAGACATACTCTGAGCACCGACTTCTGTGACATATCGGCGGCAGCGGATGTCCCGGGGATAGAAGTACTGACGCTGTACTTTCACATATAGATTCTCGTCTGTTGAATCCGCCTCCTGAGCCGCCTCCAGCACCTCCCGATGCAAGGATGTCTGTCTGTCTAATGCCTGGATAAGGTCCTCCCAGATGCTGGAATCGGCAGCATCGACGTCTGCGTTTCGCTTGGGAGCTCCTTTCTTTTTGTTGGGCTGCTGCGCCGCATCTTTCTTCTTGTAATTCTCAGCGAGCGTCCTGATGTTCAAACTTCGCGAGGAGTCTGCTGCCAGGCGAGAGCGAACGCCGGACACATGGTATGCCTCTATGAAGGTCATCTCTGTGTCATGAACCAGAGACACCACCGCGTCAAGTGACTTCTCGCAGAAGTAGACCGGCAGGTAAAGAGTCGTCTGGCCAACCTTAGGCAGAACTGTAGGTGCAGCTACAAGTCGGCCGCTCGCCAGCATCTTGTCGATCACCTGCTGGGCATCACAGCGGTTGAAATTGAAGACGAACTTGGCCTTGGCACTTTTCAGCTGTGCAGCGGTGAACCAGTCTTTACGCTCTGCGACCAGCCAGTCCCGCAATTGACTAACGGATTCCTCTTGCTCCGCTTTGTGCTTGGCGACGGTGGCCTGGACGGCGGCTGCCTGCACCTCCGCAGCCTTGACCTCTGCAGAAGGCTCTGCGACAGCAGACGCGGCTGCTTTCTTGGAAAGGGCGTCCAAGACCTCACGCACAGGGTCGGCATCCGGAGTTTCATTTGGCGTTAAGCCACAGCTGCGCCGGACGGTCGCCAGCGTCAAGCCGCAGTCCCCGCCACGGACAACGTACTTCTCCAGGACATCGCGGCATTGCTCCGCTGTCCGATTCCTGGCATAGTTCCACACGCACCGCAGTGTTACCAGGCAAGCCGGGTTGTCCCGTAGGAAATCTTTGAGTGTGGGGTCCCGGGGGAAAATTCCGTGCGACGCCGCCAGCTCCTCTCTTCCTGCGATGCGAGCAGGATCGACGAAGCTGCTTTTGTAGGCACAGACCGCTGTTCTTCTGAGAATAGAGTTGATGGTCTCATCGGTGACACCGCCGAACCTCGCCGGATCAGATAGAAGACAACGAAAGAGTTACACAAACCTCATGCTACAACTGCAACGTAAACACTCCGAATCAATATCATGTATATTTGACGAGCAACTTTGGTGCTGTGTTGAGTTCGAAGCGTTTCCAGCCGCGCAACTCGACCAATGCCGTGTGGATGGCATAAGGCAAACGTTCCGGCACTTTGTCGGCAGAGATATGTTTCTTGTATATGTCCTCTCTCATGGAGCGCCGACTGCCTTGCACACTTTCCTGCCCCGTGACAACGATCTTGCCAACAATGTTCGCCGCCTGTTTCCGCATCTCCTGTCCAGCTAGAATCTAGTAGGCTGATGTATCCTAGTGTTATGCAACGGTCTACACAACCGACTTCCGTTTTCCGTAAGAATACCAGCAGTTGTTCACTCACTGGCCTCGTCCACAAAGTAGATGTTCATGTCCAGGCAAGTGTGGTACTCTCCGAGGATCGCCTCCAAATGTGCCGTCTGTAGGCTCTGTCCGACTCCACCGGAACCGATGCCCCAGAATGCACGGTCTACATTTTCGCCACGCAGAGCTAGTACGAAGGAAGCCATGAAGACCTGGAATGCTTCCGCGTTGGCCCAGTATGTGGTCTTCCAGAAGAGCTCGACTCGTTTCTTGACATCCTCTGCAACGGGATCCAGCATTCTGTGTGGCAGGTAGACGTACATGTTGTTGCGTGGTGTCTTGCGAACTGGATGCAAGCCGTCTGCGGTGAATGCGAAGGCTGCATCGGTCGTGCAGAAACCTCCCGCTGGCTTGACGTCCTGAGAACACCACGCGATGTAGTACTTGATGATGCTGTCATTGAGGAGAGAAGTCTGCCTCAGAGTTCGGACTGAGAAACTTTTAGAAGCTGCAAAATAAGATTACGAGTCTGCATCCAGTAATGCTTATTTACTGAAGTGTTTCGGAAACAAGCAGCAATTTGACGTACAGCTTGCCGATGGTGTTGGCCATGGCCACTGTCCAATGGACCTTGTCATCGCCCGGATCTTGAACGTCGTCGACCTCCCCCGGATTGCTTCCTTTGGACTTCGGGGGCATACGGCAGATGGCAGCCTTCTCGCACGCAGTCAGAAGGATGTCGGATTGGAGCGAGTGTCTCTCCAATAGTTCTTGGGAAGCCTTTAAAATTCCATCGTGATCCCGGAAGACATTCCCGTGAAAGGACGCATAAAGGCCCTCCAGCTGGACGAGAAACTTCTTGCATCGTGCCAGTGTGCCCTCGGGAATGACGCCCTTGTAGGCGTTCCAGTGCCCGTGCTCCGAATAGAAGAAGCACTGCCCACCATGGGCTCGGACGTGTCTCCCAGACCCCTCAACAAGCTCGAGAAACAAAACTTCCTCTCGCCGACTGACATCGAGGAGTCGTAAGCGATGTACGGCCAGTGCTCCTTGGACCACGTGTCTGAAGGTGGAGGACCACGAAGAACTGGGGCCATAGTCTGCAATAGTGCGTTCCAGCTCACTCACTTCACGAAGAATGCAGCCTTCGGTAGCCGGAATGTCAGACGCCGCTGACTCAGCAGGAACGGAGGAGATGTCAAAATCCGTCTGCATGATTTGACTCAAGGTGCTCTCCAAAGCGTCCGTCCCAGCGGGCTCTTCGGCTTCCATGAGCCCAGCCCCACCGGCATCCGGAGCTCTGGCATCGGCGCTGTCCGCTGTTCTCTGTCGCTTTGGACCTGGCTCGGCCGCGCCGTCTGCCTCTGCGGGCGCAGGTAGATCTGCATAAGTGTCCATCTCCTGTTCCAGCATTTGTGAGAATGACGGGTTTTGGGAGTCTGGAGGCTGGCTGCCGCCGCGAAGATCTTCCCGAGTCGAGGAAGTCAGCCGCACACAAGACCTCAGATCATCTCGCCGCCAAGACATGAGTCTGTCAGCCCGATTTCTGAGAATAGAGTTGATGGTCTCATCGGTGACACCGCCGAACCTCGCCGGATCAGATAGAAGACAACGAAAGAGTTACACAAACCTCATGCTACAACTGCAACGTAAACACTCCGAGTCAATATCATGTATATTTGACGAGCAACTTTGGTGCTGTGTTGAGTTCGAAGCGTTTCCAGCCGCGCAACTCGACCAATGCCGTCTGGATGGCATAAGGCAAACGTTCCGGCACTTTGTTGGCAGAAATATGTTTCTTGTATATGTCCTCTCTCCTGGAGCGCCGACTGCCTTGCACACTTTCCTGCCCCGTGACAACGATCTTGTCAACAAGGTTCGCCGCCTGTTTCCGCATCTCCTGTCCAGCTAGAACCTAGTAGGCTGATGTATCCTAGTGTTATGCAACGGTCTACACAACCGACTTCCGTTTTCCTTAAGAATACCAGCAGTTGTTCACTCACTGGCCTCGTCCACAAAGTAGATGTTCATGTCCAGGCAAGCGTGGTACTCTCCGAGGATCGCCTCCAAATGTGCCGTCTGTAGGCTCTGTCCGACTCCGCCGGAACCGATGCCCCAGAATGCACGGTCTACATTTTCGCCACGCGGAGCTAGTACGAAGGAAGCCATGAAGACCTGGACTGCTTCCGCGTTGGCCCAGTATGTGGTCTTCCAGAAGAGCTCGACTCGTTTCCTGACATCCTCTGCAACGGGATCCAGCATTCTGCGTGGCAGGTAGACGTACATGTTGTTGCGTGCCACTTCACGAAGAATGCAGCCTTCGGTAGCCGGAACGTCAGACGCCGCTGACTCAGCAGGAACGGAGGGGATATCAAAATCCGTCTGCATGATCTGACTGAAGGTGCTCTCCAAAGCGTCCGTCCCAGCGGGCTCTTCGGCTTCCATGAGCCTAGCCCCACCGGCGTCCAGAGCTCTGACATCGGCGCCGTCCGCTGTTTTCTGTCGCTCTGGACCTGGCTCGGCCACGCCGTCTGCCTCTGCGGGCGCAGGTAGATCTGCATAAGTGTCCATCTCCTGTTCCATCATTTGTGACAATGACGGGTTTTGGGAGTCTGGAGGCTGGCTGCCGCCGCGAAGATCTTCCCGAGTCGAGGAAGTCAGCCGCACACAAGACCTCAGATCATCTCGCCGCCAAGACATGAGTCTGTCAACCCGATCCGAGAGGATGGGTACGGGAATGACCAAGGACTCAAACCCGTTGTCTGGGTGAAGACACACAATTCGCAGGTCCGTTGCAGCTACATCGTAGTATTGTCGAAGGATCCAAGCGTAGATGTTGAGCTGAATGCGGTAGTGCCAGACCACGGAGTCCTCTGTGTCCTCGAGTGGAAAGTGCAGTTTGCGACCAAAGCTGCAATCCTTGGACGCCAGCTGCTTCGTCCGCTTCCAGTCCAGAAGACAGATCTCCGAGCCACGCTTCGCCACAGCGTCGATGGAGCCGGCCAGATCCTCAGCCTCCGCGTAGATGGTCCACTCCGTTCGATAAATGGTCCATCCCTCTGAGGTGAAGGCACGCAGAAACTTCAGAAAAGTGCACATCTCTGTTGACTGCAAGGGTACACTGCCGCCATTCAGCAAGCACTCGCAAAGAGCATGTGTCCAGGTTCCCTGCGACGCGGCCTTCCTGCGATTGTTGTCCCACATGCCCAGAATCTGCGTGTCTGTCAAAGTAACGATCTCCGCTAGATGACGATACCCAGGATGTGTCCACACGAGGTTCCGAAGTCGGCAGCAGATGGCTTCGACATCCACGTCGGAGGATTCCACTAGATGAGACAGCACCGCGTCCGCGGGTCCCTCCGCTCGCAAGGCTCGTCGAAGTTCCGAGACAGCGTTCGTAGACAGATAGTCGGCACGTGGCCAATTGCGACCGCCGCGCATGGCTCGCACGGCTTCCACAGCGTTGAAGCTCCGGGCAAGCTTGTGAATAAGACCCGTCACAGACATAGAAACCTTCCGGCCCCGCCAGGTGTATGTGTGATCCGCCTCGCGAAACTCCAAATGCGTGTCCCGCGGGTGCGTGTGCACAATGGCCAAAATATCCAGAATTTCCAGTCCTTCAAGACGTTCCACATTGAAAGAAGACGGACTTGCTGCGCAAATAGAGCGGGGACCAGTCCACTGCCTTAGACTTATCGGCAGGAAAGTGTCCAGCCCGAAGTCAAGCAAGGAGCCGGTGCCGGTCGGCCGGTCCATGTGTGTTGCCACTGAGAAGAAAACACTGTCACCCAGCTGGCCACGCGCTTCCTGGACTCGCTGCATCAAATGGACATCTGATACAGCCTCCTGAGCTTCCATGGCCTGTTGCTCATTGGAGAAGATCATTGAGAGCCTGTCTTCGACATCGACCAGACGATGGCAGAGTTGTTCGAATCTGAGCTCATCTCCTTGGAAACACAGATACTGTTTGCGCAGTGCCTGTAGACGGCGTTTCTCGATCTGCAAGCGGACGGCCGAGGTCACCTGCACCGAAGTCCCACCGAGACGGTCTTCGAGATAGTATTCGGGAGCACATGCCAGACAGAGATCTGCGTTCGCGATTCCATGGTTCTGACAGAACCAATATTCGCACTCACTGCAGCAGGCCAGGCTTTCACAGGCACAGTACGCACATCCCGGATATCCGAACGACGTCATGTACTTGAATGGGAGAGCTTCGACTTGAAAGCTTTCTATCTGAGCACTGGAAGGTGTAATGCAGACTGCGGCACTTCTTACCCAAGGCTCGATGCTCTGCTCCGCAGTCAGAAGGATGGTCGCGATGTCATGACCGTCCACAGCGAACTCCAGGAAGTTGCTGTCCCAGTGAAATGCGAAGGTGTGCCCTGAGTTCCTTCCCTCCTTCAGATGCTGCGGCATGGGGATGGCAACCCGTTCGCCATTGGCCAGGCGGAATTGCATCTCCCCTGTTGCAGTAAAGGGTCTCCGAAGCACCATGCACGTGCTGCTTTCTGGGGTACTACGGAAGTTTGAGCGTCGCAATGCCAAGACCAGAAAGTTCGTATCCCATGGCAGCCGCACACGCATGGAACTTCGATGACAGGTTTGGTGCTCCGACTTCCAGTACACGATGCGTGTGGAGCTCTGCGGGCTTCCCATAGGAGCGACCAGGCTCGGCATGTGTTCTCCTTGTCCGTGTAGCCAGAGTTTCGTCCCGAGAGACGACAGAGCATGAAGTACGGAAGGAGAGCAGGAGACTGTCCTGATGCCTTCTTCCCACGCTTGCAAAAGGTTACCAAAGAAGGCAGATTGGCAGAAACTAGCACGAAGCCGCACTTTCAATTCCAGATCCACGTCATGCCAAAAGCGGCCTTGCTGAACGCACTCCCTGAGTTGCGTGCTGCAGCTAGCCAGACACAGAAAGTCCTGGAGGCTTCCGAGGAATGACACCGGCGGAGGAGACACGCTCAACCAGTCTGTCGTTCCACCACGCAGGTCCAGCGCTGACAGAAAGGCTTTAGTGCCGAGCTCCGTCGGCAGAAAGCAGCTGTTGCTCGGGTTGTGATGATCGTCTGCCGAATTCTCTTCGCCGAACATGGACACCGTCACATGCGCCCATTGCTCCACATCGCAGTCCTGCAGGGATAGCATCCCATGACGGTGTCCGTCGAGGAAAACTTCCAGCCTGTGATTGTACCACTGTACCTGCAACAGGCGGTCGGCCGTGCACTGTGGGATGCTAGTGAGGAATTTATCGCTCGGGCGACCAAGGCGACTGTGCCCCAATTCAGTCATCACAGTTTCGGCAAAGGGCGCCCCCATGTCACACCAACAGCGATCCCCGATGGGGGAGCAGCCTCCAATTGAAACCACAACACGCCGTGGCTGGTCGGTGCTGCTTAGGCGGAAGTAGACCAGCGATAGTACGGGCTGCAGCATGCTCCACTTCCGGATGAGTGAGCCGCAGACCTTCTTCGCCGTGACGTGCACTGGCCATTCCACAGCCACGATGCGAGAACCGCCGATTGCGGCGGCCAGCAAGGACTTCCGATCCCCCAGCCAGTTCCTGTCCACGGCAGCCGCAGGCAGGACGCCCGCGTGTCTATCGAGCCAGACGTCCGAAGACGTAACCAGGTCGCGTGTCTCGCGGCAGGCACGCTCGAAGTGCACGGCCGTGCGAAGATCTCCTAGTCTGCAAACGAGCTCTTTCGAGAGATGCACGGGAAGACCTTGCAAGCTCCCACCAGATAAGTCCGATCCGCCGCCCAAGCTGTCCTGAATGACGAAGACTCCGGTGCACTCGGTCGGATCAATGACCCAGACAGCCATCTCGTTGCAGTAGACAAGCGGGGAGTGTGTGCGGTGCGTGCACGCTTTCTTCCATGCGTGTCGCTTATTACTTTGGTTGACTTCCAGCACACCTTCTTTCTTCCTCAGGGCGACGAAGTGCTCTCCGATGGTCAACACAAACTGGCCATCTGCGACCGCCGAGATCTGCCTCCATGTTGTGCGAGCGACTGCTTTCCTTACAATGCATTTGCATGGACTACGCCTGCTTACAGGTGCGTGAACGAGCTGCACAACATCTGTCTGTCCAGCGGCCCGAACGGCTCCAGAAAGGTGCTGCCGTCTCGGATCGCCCAGAAAGGGCCGTCGCTCGCATACTCCAGCTTGTAGCCGTGGGCACGCAACGTGTCGATGAGGCACACGTCCTTGAACTTCTCTTCCCCGCCTGGTCGGCAGGTGGGACACGACTGCTCTCTTGAGTTTCTCGTCTTTTTGTGTAACAAGGGAAAGCTTCTGCCGAGTGACACGTCGACGGAGCGTCGTATCGGTGCGACTTCTTCCTCGTGACCATACCTCTAGTTTCATGGACGAAGCCAGAATTCTATGCCTGTTTTTTTTTCAGATAAGATTCTCGATCGATGCTTGGCTCGTCGCCAGCGCAGTGCCAGCACATTTCGTGTCAGAGACTTCGGACATGAGTCCTCCTGCCATGCAAGATTTGTTGGATGCATGCTTGCTTGATGCTTGCAGACTGCACATGCAGCACGTGTTCATGCTGCCTCCGCTGCCAAAAGCTGGGCACTGCTTGGGCGTACCTCGTCGACAGGTGCAGACAAACATTCGGCTTGGAAACTCAGTTACTGACATAAGCAACAAGGACATGAGAATCCTGCGCTCCGCTATCATGTTTGGCCTGCTTCTGGCAGCATCCAATGCTCGTCCCTCGGCCAGTGACTGACACGATATCAGACGGAGAAACAGGAGTCAAACGGCAGCCACTGCGGCAGAGAAGCAGTTGTAGGTGCGCTCCCCCTGATGCTTCCTTGTCACGAAGCGGTTCCCTAATCCAGAATTAGATGAAGGTTCGAAATACAACACGACTATGCCACCACTGTTTCTCTGCTGCTTACATCCTTGCAGAGGCAGTGACGTCTGCTCAGCAGAAATGTCACCGGCCGGATCAGCGGCCATGTTCCTTAGTCAACAATTGGCCTTACAGCCGGCGTGAGGTACAACCGTGTCTCCAATCTTCGCCTACTGCCTGAACGTTTTCAAAAGCAGTCGCGACTGCTCAGCCGCGACGTCCTCGGTCGGATCAGCGGCCAACTTCCTTAGTCAGCGCGGCGTGCAGCTTGTGGCATGACTGTGTCCCCGACGTGTGTCTACTGTCTGCATCTTTGCAAAAGCAGCGACGATGTGTTCGCAGTAATATCATCGGCTGGACACCCAGCCTTGCTCCTCGGTCAAAATTTGGACTTGCAGTCGGCGTGCGGTATAACCGCGTCTCCAATCTTCGCCTACTGCCTGCACGTTTTCAAAACCAGTCACGACTGCTCAGCCGCGACGTCCTCGGTTGGATCAGCGGCCGGCTTCCTTGGTCAGCGCGGCGTGCAGCTTGTGGCATGACCCTGTCCCTGACGTGTGTCTACTGTCTACATCTTTGCAAGAGCAGTGACGATGGGCTCGCAGTAACATCATCGGCTGGACACCCAGCCTTGCTCCTTGGTCAAGATTTGGATTTGCAGCCGGCATGTAGAACAACTGGGGTGCTAGTATTCACATATTGTCCGCATAATTGCGAAGATAGTGACGTCTGCTCATCGGCCAAGTCCTTGGCCAGATCAGTGGCCTGCTCCCTTAGTTAGCAAGTGGATCTGCAGCCGTCGTGCAGCACGGCGCACAGCCGCGTCTCCCGTCATCCTCTACTGACTGCATCTTTGCGGAGGCAGTGACGACTGCTCAGCTTCAACATCCTCCGCCGGGCCAGCGACCTCGTTCCTTGGCCAGGAATTCGAGCTTCTCCCAACATGCACCCCAACTACGTCTCCAAACTTTGCATATTGTCTGCATCTTATGTGCAAAGGCAGGGACGACTGGTCAACAGCAATGTCCTCGGCCGGACTTGCGGCCTTGGACCTGCAGACTGTTCGAGTGGGTCTGACAGTACGAAGACGTCACGCTTCCAAGTCTCAAGCCTGCTTGTAAAAACCGGGGTTGCACAGTCTGCACGGCAGTTCGTGTCGTTCTGCCTTTGCACGGGTGCTGACTTCACCAGAAGCATTGCCTTTCGTTACTCACATGTGCAAATGTGCCCAGAACACCGAACAGATCGTCCTTCCATCTTCCTACTGCACCGGTAGCTCCCAGTTAGCGATCCCCCCGATCACTGTACGTATCACTGTCACACCCAAGGTCCCAGCTTGGTTTTTCGCCACTTGCCGCAACCGTCCAACATCCCTGCAGCATGTCTTCATGTTTCCCGCATTGCGAGAACGCACGCTCTACCCGTTCTACGTGCCTGTGGTAACACCAGTGACAAGTCTCTCACGCTCGCTCTCCTGCTGTAAAGTCAAGCAGCACACGGCCGGCTTCTTGGCTGACGGCTGTCCTCGGTAGCAGAACTAAGTCTTTTCCTTGGCGGGCCGCATTTCTGCTGCTGTCCAAACTACCCCATCATCGGAGGATCAAGATATGCATGGCAGTCCTCCTGCATCGACGGCAGTTGGCGGCATTTTCGTCCGCACCCTGGTCGAGATCCGGATTACCATGTTTTCGATAAACATGCATTGCCACCGATTGACTTGTAGAGGCATGTCACAAGCACGAGCTTCCTACAGAAGGCCTGACGACACGCCAGCCTTGATCGATGAGGCCTCGTCGACCATGGCTTCACATGTTCTCGCAGGCGACTGTGCTCCTACTGATTAACTTGAAGGAAGAGGCGATAATCTTCCTCCGGTTCCACCGGAGTTCCGAGAAACCTGAGCTTGTCGTGTTCGGTTCAGTTTCGACCCGTGCTCTCACACGCAGCCCCGATGGCGATTGTTGGAGGATCAAGAGACTCCAAGTCCTCATCCGCAAACCAAGGGAACTGGGAGAAGCGAGCCATGATCCTTACTCAGCACCCCTATCAATCCAATCCATCCTTCCCTTGCGCCACGTTCATTTTGTCTTGTGCTCAGCTACAGACTGCTGGGATTCGGAAGAATGCAGTTGATCGGATAGCACCTGGGTACGCAGAACTTGCCATTCGCGACATTTGCTCAGTTACGACATTCACGTGGACTACAACACCGATATCATGTACTGTGACATGTCGCTCTGACCTGCAGATAAGCCGCAACAAAGTTGCGGAAAGTCGAAGGCTCGCGGAGTTTCGAGCCATACATCACGGCAGAAGCTGACGCTTACGTTTCGCGTGGCAGTCTAGCTGTCGTAGATCGGTGATGCAACGGGAGCATGTCGACTGTTTCTGCATCTCCTCTAGTCATATCGGCAGCACGCTGAGCCTCGGGCCTCTTCATTGCGGAAGGCGTCTAGACTTTCCCCTGCAGGTATGCTGTCGCGATCGGATGCGACACGCACAGCCGACCCCAATCCACTATGTTCTTCGTCAAAGAGCACGCCATCTTACAGGTCCCGTAGAGACAAACTGTTTTTTTTAAAGCGCAGGGATCTGTGTAGGTCTCGTCTGCTCCGACCGTTACAAAGCGCTGCGGGGGTTTGCGGCTTGGTGTATTAACTACAGAAACCCAATGTGCTCTATCTCTGGCAACGAAAGAGACAGACTGTATGTTTATATATTAGACGTATGAGACCCACGATATTCTTAGGCCCCTCCTGGATCCAGCGTGACCGACCCTATTCGTCGGGTCGGATATGCTCGCTGCTGGGTTTTGTCGTTCTTCTCTAGAGAGCCTGTCTGACCCCGGCTGATTTGGGCTACATGTCGAGCCGTCCAAGCTCGGGATTTACGTAGGCAAATGGCGAAAGAACCTGACCTCCCTGCCCCATAAGCCCGCCGAATGTAAGCCATGTAATTTTTGAAGGGATTCCTTCGGGGTTCCTTCCTGTACATATGTACAGATGATACTACTCCTAAGGACCCCGTACCCTAGTTGCGGTCTCGGGCTATCGCCATGCAGTTGGTGTTTGCTATGCTTACATGCATGCGCTTCACTGCTACACGACAGCACCACCCGATCGGCCTGCCACTCCATCTCCGGGCCGGTTCACCTGCCACAAGGCTCTTGTGAGCTCTGGTCCACACTTGCAGAACGTGCTCCGTTCGCCAATCCAAGCAGACGCTCCTTTTATAGATGCCCTCGCATCTAGGACTTACGGGAGTACGGCGCCCAGGCACACACGCCGACGCTGGGTCGGTGCGACTTCGTCGCGTTTTGAAACCCCGCCGTAGCTGCTCGCAGGCCTCGCAGTGTCGCGGGTCTTCCTTAGGAAACCCCGGATACAGCTGGCCGCTCGCATCAGGCTTACCCTTATGATTAGGAGCGGGCTCGCCAGGAGGGATGAAAGGTCTGCGTTCGCGGACTTTTCCTCCCTTCGGCTTGCCCTCTGCACTTTCTGTCTTAGCCGCCTTCGGCGGGCCAGAAGCTCGTCTCCCAGTACCGGGGTTGGGGGTAGGTGGGGGTGGGCTGGATTTGGGGGGCGGTGCCTTGGCCACCTCCTTCCCACCTCCTCGCGACTCACCCGAGACCTTCGCCTTGCTGCTTCCGTCCGGTGCCTTGTCTTCCTTCTCGTCCTCACTTGAGCTTCCAGGCAGCACAGGAGAACCAGACGAGAAAGAAGACGACCGACTTTCCTCCATCTCGTCTAACTCCTGCTCCTTCTTCTTTATGGAGACCCGGAGACTCCGCAGTTTTTTATGATCTTCACGGATGGCACCTTTCTTCTGCAGATACTTAGCCTTCAGGACCCCCAGGCCAAGGCGAACCGATGAGCCAGTCGAAGGCATTGCGAGCAAGGAAATTTCGGATGGCAGGCAAGAGCTCAGGTTCTCGAGCCGACCCAAATTGCGTTGTTCCGTCGCTCCGCTACCAATGACATCGAGCACGAATGCAGCAGCACGACTAACAACTCATGCATGCAAGCGTCCTCGCCTTCGCGATTGCGACGAAAACGATCGCAGAGTCGGCGGCGTATCCTGACGGCAGTGCCGGACATGTGTTTCGAAGCGCTTGTTCGGAGAATCTTTGGTTCATAACTCAGTGTGCAGCATCGCATGAGTGTTGTAGCATGTTGCATATAACAAGTCGCGACAAGGCTGTTACAGATAACAAAGCCCCCGTCAGTGCTATACAATATTATGCTGAAGGGTGAGATGCAGATGATGAAGATGATGAAGATGATGAAGATGATGAAGATGAAAAAGATGATGAAGATGAAAAAGATGATGAAGATGAAAAAGATGATGAAGATGAAGAAGATGATGAAGATGAAGAAGATGATGAAGATGAAGAAGATGATGAAGATGATGAAGATGAAGAAGATGATGGAGATGAAGAAGATGATGAAGATGAAGAAGATGAAGAAGATGATGAAGATGATGAAGATGATGAAGATGATGAAGATGATAAAGATGATTTAAATAATTTAGATCCTGAAGGGGAGGGGTCCCCGGGGGTCCAGGGCCCCGGGAATTAAATAATTTAAATAATTTAAATCCGGAGCCCTTCCCCAGGATTTAAATTATTTAAATTATGTAAATCCTGGGGCCCGGGGCCCCCGGGAACCCCCCGGCCAGGATTTAGATTATTTAAATTATTTAAATTATTTAAATGGGGCCGGGAATTAAATAATTTAAATAATTTAAATCCTGAAGGGGAGGGGTCCCCGGGGGTCCAGGGCCCCGGGAATTAAATAATTTAAATAATTTAAATCCGGAGCCCTTCCCCAGATTTAAATTATTTAAATTATTTAAATCCTGGGGCCCGGGGCCCCCGGGAACCCCCCCGGCCAGGATTTAAATTATTTAACTTATTTAAATTATTTAAATTATTTAAATGGGGCCGGGAATTAAATAATTTAAATAATTTAAATAATTTAAATAATTTAAATAATTTAAATCCTGAAGGTGAGGGGTCCCCGGGGGTCCAGGGCCCCGGGAATTAAATAATTTAAATAATTTAAATCCGGAGCCCTTCCCCAGGATTTAAATTATTTAAATTATTTAAATCCTGGGGCCCGGGGCCCCCGGGAACCCCCCCGGCCAGGATTTAAATTATTTAAATTATTTAAATTATTTAAATGGGGCCGGGAATTAAATAATTTAAATAATTTAAAAAATTTAAATAATTTAAATCCTGAAGGGGAGGGGTCCCCGGGGGTCCAGGGCCCCGGGAATTAAATTA